ACCCCCCCCCCCCCCCCCCCTTCCGCCAAGAGGAAAAAACGAGGAAAGAAAGAGAAGAAACACACAGACAGCTCATGGCCGTAACGTCCATCAAGCCCGGCGGCGCCGGCCCGCTCACCACCGTCTTCACAACGCCCGACTTTTGCGCCGCGAGCGCGTGGAACGATGTCGGCACCCCGCCGCTGTCGAGCTCCATCTGCATGCCGCCCGACGGTTGGACCGAGTACTGGAACTCCCGGGCCGGCTTCTTCTCCCCGGCAATCTGCCCCAAGGGCTACACGCGCGGGTGCACCATACCCACCGACTTGGCGACGGGCATGTCACTAGGCGGGCCGCTGACGGCGAGTGCAGGGGAGACGGGGCATATTTGTTGTCCGACGTACGTCTGAATTTATTTTTTGTGGTGGTTTGGAAAGATGGGGGAGATATACACGCCTTCTCCCCTCCTACGTTTTCCCATGAGCAATTGAGGAGCGAAAAAGAAAGAAAAAGAAAAAGGCTCACCATGTTTTCAATGCAGAGGATACACATGCTTCCCCGGCGACAGCTTGACCGAACCCTGGCCGTACAGCAAATGCCAGGCCACCGCACCAACGACGTACGAAACCTCTAACGAGGCCACCTCCGTCTTCCTGACCACCACGAGTCAGCTCGTCTACGCCATCCAGGTCCGCTGGCGCGAGTCCGACCTGCCGCAGCTGGAAACGAACCCCACCGTCTACGGCCAGATCATGACGGCGACGGCAACCGCGTCGGCGGCATCCCGCTCGACCGCTGCCGCGACGGCGACGAGCACCAATCCAGCGGACGGCGGTGATGACGGCGGCGGTGGCGGCGGCGACAGCGGCGACGGCGGTCGTCTGTCCACCGGCGCGCAGATCGGCATCATCGTCGGCGCCGTCGCGGGCGTCATCGCGCTGGCCGTCGGCGCGTACCTGCTGTGGCGGCGCCGCGAGGACCGCAAGCGGCACCGGCTGCTCAGCCAGACGGCGCCCGAGGAGGAGATGAAGCCCGGCAGCAACTCGTCGTACCGCCACATCTCCGAGGACCACCAACACCAACACTTGGCCGTGCCGCACGCGGACACCGCCGGCAACAGCCCCGTGTCGCCGCTGTCGCCCGCGGCCGGGCCGCCGCCCTCGACGGCGGCGACGGAGATGCACGGGAGCACCGCGTTCGCGGCCGAGCTGCCGGGGAGCCAGGTGTTTCCGGTCGAGGCCCCGGCTGGGAATGCGGTGATTGCCGAGTTGCCCGGTGATCATGCGGTGTTTGAGAAGGATACGGGGACGGGTGGGAAGGCGTGAGAGAAGAGAGAGGAAAAGAGGCGGATAAGGAAGAAAGAGAGAAAGGAAAAAAAAAAGCAACATTTACCTCTTTGAAGGGAGGAGAGGGGAGAATATCCATCCGTACGAGGTCTGTTCCAGAGACATTGCAACACTACTACTGCTGCTACCAGGCGTGTAGAGAGTCGAAGCAACAGACCTCTGGGTAACCCATGCTGGGCGGACGCGACGATACCGACATCCAGACGGCTCCTTCAGTTCCTCATGCCTGCTGAGGCAGTTCCTTTTCTTTTCTTCTTTTTTTGCAATGCTCATGATACCAACCGCGTAATGGAAAGAGGGGAATTTTGGAGAACGAACACGAGAAGCCCTCATGGAAGCATCCTATCAGTTCAAGGCTCTGCTTTCGACCCTTTTGTTCTTAGGAGATGCCCGCCATCGTTGTGGACGTACGATCGCAAAGTCTGGTCGGCCGAGCAGCCATCGTCACCACCAACCACACGAAGGCGCGCCTCGGGACGGGACAACTGTCGTTGCGGACGGGGAGAGTTCGTGGATGTGGGGACTCCTCGAGAAGCTCACGTTTGGGGAAACCACGTTTGCTCGAACTAGCGGTGAGGGTGAGGACGGGGATGGTGAGAATGGCAACAAGAGCAAAAAAGCGCGTGGAAAGTGGTGAGGGGAGCTCTCCTTACTTGGGGCGCTGGCATATTCCGCGTCTTTCGTCGAACGGAATGAGTCGCTCCTCTTCAGCCCTGTATTCGTTAGCTGGCCGCGAAGGTCTGTTCTGAAGGGGCTTCGCGAAGTTCGCATTGGAGGTAAGGAGCTACAAGGCGAAGGAGGCGTTTAGTTGAAAACATCGGAAAAGGACTTGGAGCGGCTGAAACTTCATTTCTCGGATTGAGTTACGGGTAAGACCAGTACAGGTATACGGAATTAATGTTATAATGGAGCTGGTAATCGAGAGTGGCCTTCGGGCTCTTTGGCCTCTTTCCATCTTGGACCTTTTCCGTAAGTCCCGTGGCAAGGACCGGAATGGCTTCCTCTCCCCTTCGAATTCTCTATATGGTATCATTCCTCGTCGACTGGATAGAGGCGACTGGCTTCCCTTGCCATGTCGATGCTAAATGTCGTGCAACCAGGCATGGTGCCTGTGGTAGGACAGTATGAAATTGCAGATTTACGGCGCTGACTCCGTCCTGCACATGTGATCCGTGATTCCTAGATGAGAGTTCGTATACTCTCAAGATGTATCCATGGGCTCTGCGGCTACAGTCTTCTTGTCGTCACCAGGCTGGGTGGGCTTGGTGCTTTCAAGGCGTGCTTTCTTGGCCTGCCTCTTAAGCTGGCTCTTTGACGGGACTTTGCTCTGCTCGGCGGCGTTCTCAGAGCCCTTTGCCATGCCCTCAGCTTTACGCTTTTGACTTTCTTGCTTGTTCTTGACTTGCGCTTCTTTCTTCTCGGGCTTCTCGCCGCCATACACAACGTCGATGACGCCCCGGAAGCTAGTCCGCTTCATCTGGGCGCTAACGACGGCAGCGCGAGCCTCTTTGGATACAGCCTCGTGGCCGCGCTCCTGACCCAGGCCCCAAACGGCGGCAAGGTTGACCACGTCCCAAGGTGCTCGGCAGCCGAGAGCCGACTTGGCCTCGCTGCTTATTATCAGACCCCTACCTCTCGAGGCGCGAATCAACTGCGTGGTGTTCATGATGAGGTTTCTCCGCGCGGAGCTGTCCTTTGCCAGGATGCCGGGCGCATAGCAGATCTCAAACTTGACGCCGCGTTCGATGGCTTGCGACAGCATCTTGAACTTGAAGAAGAAACCAAGGCGCTGGGTCAGGTCCATGGAGATGATGTCGCAGTCCAGCGACTGGCATGCTTGTTGCAGCGTCTTCTCATCGACGGGTCTTACAGCGAGGATGTCATATGTTTGGGCGAGGTTGTTGATGCGGTGGTTCTGCGCGGGGTCGGCGAGGACGAGGGTACAGCGGCGCAGGATGCGGACGTTCTTGGGGACGGCGAACGGCAGCGGATCGAGAATCGGACAGGTCTGCTCTGGTCAGTGCTTGGCGCCGGGTTTCAGAGTGATGCCAGCGGTACCAAGTCGGCGGGGAGCTTGCCGGACAGCGTATGGGACAGGGCGACGACATTGTAGCCCACTGCGAGACGTTAGCCGCCTCAGCTGCACCGTTCGGGGAGGCGGGCTTACGATCAGCGAGGAACGCAACGGTGCGCGGCAGCTCGGGATCCTTTGCGGACCAAGGGAGGTTCAGGTCGTAGAACATTGCAGGTGAGGCAGCCAGAAGATCGTCGGCGGTTGGACGGAAAGGGTTGTCGCAAAAATTGTCGAGCCGTTATGCGGTCGTTGAGCGCCCTGACTGGGGCCGGGGCAAGAATGCAATCCGCCGCGCGTGGAATTCTTGCGGCCTGGTGCCTTATTATAAGGCCCGCTCGGGACGGTGCTGCCTTGCTGGGAGTAAAGGCAGCGGCGCGGCGCGATGCAGCGAGTACTCCAGCGGGCGCGGCAGTTGTGGCCTGAGGCCGCCAGCAACAAGGATGCCGGCGATCGCAGGCCCGGCCCCGCGATTGTCAAAACCACCGCAACCACCACTTCCAACCAACGCCCGCCCGTCATAGCCCAACCACCACGCTCCCGCGCCACCCGCACCACCACCGCTCTTGCTTTCGCCGTCGCCGTTGCCGTTTTCGCCGCACTCGTCGCGCTCGTCCTCTCCCCCAAGAGCCCCCAGAATACCGCCAGGGTGTCGGAAATACGAGTGGAAAACATAGACCCGGCGCCCAGCATGGCGCGTGTTTACGCAGGTCGGTGTCCGCCCCGACCGTCTCCACTTTGCGCTGACCCCGACCAGATGTGAACGCGAATATGCCCCGGTCCTACTGGGACTATGACTCGGTCAACATCTCGTGGGGCGTCCTCGAGAACTACGAGGTTGTCCGCAAGATCGGTACGCTTCCCCGCCCGCCCTCACTCCCTGAACAGGCCTGCTTACGCGCCGCGCGCCAGGCCGGGGCAAATACTCGGAGGTCTTTGAGGGGATCAACATCGTCAACTACCAGAAATGTGTCATCAAGGTCCTCAAGCCCGTCAAGAAGAAGAAGATAAAGCGCGAGATCAAGATCTTGCAGAACCTCAGCGGCGGGCCCAACATCGTCGCCCTGCTTGACGTCGTTCGCGACAACCAGGTTCGTGTCGCCCGCCCCACCCGCACGGTCCGGCCTGCAAAGTGACGGTGGCTAACCGCGCGCTCAGAGCAAGACTCCATCGCTCATCTTCGAATACGTGAACAACACCGACTTCAGAAGCCTATACCCCAAGTTCCAGGATTATGACGTGCGCTTCTACATTTTCGAGCTGCTCAAGGTGCGTGTCCCGGCTCGGTGTTCTGGCCCAAGGCTGACGCGTGTAGGCCCTGGACTTCTGCCACAGCAAGGGCATTATGCACCGAGATGTCAAGCCGCACAACGTCATGATCGACCACGAGAAACGCAAGGTCAGTGCCGCCACACCCTCGCTCGCCTCTCGGGGCTCAAGCTAACCCGCGTCTCGCACCAGTTGAGACTCATCGACTGGGGTCTCGCTGAGTTCTACCATGCCGGCACGGAATACAACGTCCGTGTCGCGTCTCGCTACTTCAAGGGCCCTGAGCTTCTTGTCGACTTCCAGGAGTACGACTATTCTCTTGACATGTGGTCCCTGGGTGCCATGTTTGCCTCCATGATCTTCCGCAAGGAGCCCTTCTTCCACGGAAACAGCAACTCGGATCAGCTGGTCAAGATCGCCAAGGTTTTGGGTACCGAAGACCTTTTTGACTATCTCGACAAGTACGACATCGAGCTCGATGCTCAGTACGACGACATTCTCGGCCGCTTCCCCAAGAAGAGCTGGCACAGCTTTATCAACGCCGAAAACCAGCGGTTCGTCAGTAACGATGCCATTGATTTCCTCGACAAGCTGCTCCGTTACGACCACCAGGTGAGCACCAGCAAATTTGTGTTGTTATGTTTGAGAACCTTACGTGAAACAGGAGCGTCTTACTGCCAAGGAGGCCATGGCACACCCGTACTTCAACCCGGTCCGCCAGGCGTGCATGCAGAACAACACGAGCTCTTCATGATTGACAAGACTGCCTCTTTTCAACACCTACCTTCTACATTTTCGGGCGCTTTGAGCCCCGGAGATGCGGCACCCTGGTACGCTCAACAGCTGCGTCAACTGAGGACAGGAGACCCACGGCCAGGGCATTCCGCCTCCTTCCGATCCTCACAACATCAGTTCGGTATTTCCCCGGGGGAGACGAAGAGCCAGCGGCAGGAGCGACGGGGGAATGAAGCGCGGAGATTCAAGCGACGGCGGGAGCATTGGCGGGGGGAAGTGCGCTTTTTCTTTTGCTTTTGCAGTTGTAGATACCAATAATCCAACGATACAGTTACGATATGTTGGACATGACTCGAGTCGGTGGCGCTTGCGTGCTGGCGACAGGAGCAGGAATGTGTTGGTGCCAGCCGTGCAAGGCGTGGGATACAAAATTGCTGACTAAGGCTGCAAACGAAGCAAAGCAGGCGCCAAGCTGGAGATTGTCCCGCCGCGGCGCCCGCAGAAGTCGGAGTCACAGCTACCCAGTCATTGCTCGCTCTTTACCCCTCCCCCACTTGCAGCCCGCGGGCAAAATATTCAAAACGCTGTCGCGCGCGCTTCTCGGGCGCCCCATTCTCCGCATCTCGCGCCCTCTGCGTTTTACACGCGCATTTACCTACAGAATGGCTCTCAACCACGCCTCGCACAACCCGAGTATGTCCTCTGCTTGCAATTCCCCACTGCACAACATTGGCTGACGGTGATACCACCACACAGCGGGCGAGAGGACTGGCCCTGCCACCGGTCCCCCTCCTCCCGTCTCGAGCGAAACCGCTGCCGCCGTCACCGAATCGGCGAAGCAGGACCCTGTGGGACAGCAAGCGCCGGGCAAGGATGGCGAGGTGAAGGAGGGCGAGAAGGCCAAGACTCCGAAACAGCGTATGGATATCCAACTTGACTCGAGCCTCTGCTGAACCAGCGGAGTGTCGGCGAGGTTATATCTCAGCTCACGAATCGAGGGCTGACTTGCGGATATAGTCGAGAAGGAGCGCCAAAAGGCCGAGAAGGCGAAGAAGTTCGCGGAGAAAGAGGCCAAGAAGCAGGCGCTGGCTGCTGCCACCACCAAGAACGCTACCAAGAAGAAGGTTGCCACCAAGGAAGAGACTAAGCCATACGTTGAAGAGACTCCAAAGGGCGAGAAGAAGAGTACGTCAGAGCCTACCTGATAGGACGGCGAGCGTTGTGTGTCTGACTCCGCGCAGTTCTCAAGTCCCTCGATGACGAGTATCACAAGGCCTACATCCCCTCCGTCGTCGAGTCAGCATGGTACGACTGGTGGGAGAAGCAGGGTTTCTTCGAGCCCGAGTTCGATGCCGATGGCAACGTGAAGCCCGCCGGTTACTTCGTCATCTCCGAGCCCCCGCCCAACGTCACCGGTGCCCTCCACTGCGGCCACGCCCTGGCCAACGCCCTCCAGGACACCATGATCAGATGGAACCGTATGAAGGGTCTGACCACTCTCTACCTCCCCGGCTGCGATCACGCCGGTATTTCTACCCAGAGCGTCGTCGAGAAGATGCTGTGGAGGAGAGAACAGAAGACCAGGCACGACCTCGGTCGCCAGGCGATGGTCAAGAGGATCTGGGAATGGAAGGGCGACTACCACCAGCGCATCAACAACGTCTTGAGGAGAATGGGCGGCTCTTTCGATTGGTCGAGGGAGGCTTTCACCATGGACGAGAACCTGTCCAAGGCCGTCACCGAGACTTTCGTCAGACTGCATGAGGAGGGCCTCATCTACAGATCTGACCGTCTCGTCAACTGGTGCACTACCCTCAGGACCGCTCTGTCGAACTTGGAGGTCGACAACAAGGACATCGAGGGCCGCACTCTTCTCGACGTGCCCGGCTATGAGCGCAAGGTTGAATTTGGTGTCATCACCCACTTCAAGTACCCCATCGAGGGCACTGAGGAGACTATCGAGGTCGCTACCACCCGTCCGGAGACCATGCTCGGTGATTCCGGTATCGCCGTCCATCCCGATGACGAGCGCTACAAGCACCTTGTCGGCAAGAAGGCCAAGCACCCCTTCGTTGACCGCCTCATGCCCATCGTCGCTGATACCTACGTCGATCCCGAGTTCGGTACTGGTGCCGTCAAGATCACCCCTGCCCACGATCCTAACGATTTTGCCCTTGGTCAGCGTCACAAGCTTGAGTTCATCAACGTGCTTACCGATGACGGTCTGCTGAACCAGAACGGTGGCCAATTCGCTGGCCAGAAGCGTTTCGATGTCCGTTACACCGTTGTTGACGAGCTGACCAAGCTTGGTCTCTTCGTCAAGAAGGAGAACAACCCCATGAGGATTCCCCTCTGCCAGAGGACCAAGGACGTCATTGAGCCAATCGTCAAGCCCCAGTGGTGGATGCGCATGAAGGGATTGGCTGAGCCTGCCATCCAGGCTGTCCGCAATGGCGACATCAAGATCCGGCCTGCGACTGCTGAGGCCGACTACTTCAGGTGGCTCGAGAACATCCAGGACTGGTGCTTGTCGAGACAGTTGTGGTGGGGTCACCAAGCTCCCGCCTATTTCGTTGAGATTGAGGGCGAGAAGAACAGTGACTCAGATGACCAGTATTGGATCGTCGGCCGTAACGATGAGGAGGCCCAGGAGAAGGCGGCGAAGAAGTTCCCTGGCAAGAAGTTCACCCTGAGGCGTGATGAGGATGTGCTGGACACATGGTTCTCGTCTGGCCTGTGGCCCTTTTCCACCCTCGGCTGGCCCAACGAGACTCCCGACATGGCCAAGCTGTACCCGACCAGCATTCTCGAGACTGGTTGGGATATCCTGTTCTTCTGGGTTGCCCGTATGATCATTTTCGGTCTGAAGCTCACCGGCGACGTTCCGTTTAGGGAGGTCTACTGCCACTCTCTCATTCGTGACTCGGAGGGTCGCAAGATGTCCAAGTCGCTTGGCAATGTCATTGACCCCGTGGACATTATGGAGGGCATCCAGCTCACCCAGCTTCACGAGAAGCTGCTGGAGGGCAACCTTGACCCCAAGGAGCTCAAGACTGCTACCAAGTACCAGCAGACGTCTTTCCCTCAGGGCATTCCGGAGTGCGGAGCCGACGCACTGCGCTTCTCTCTTGTGTCGTACACCACTGGTGGTGGTGACATCAACTTCGACGTCAAGGTCATGCACGCCTTCAGGCGTTTCTGCAACAAGGTCTACCAGGCGACCAAGTACGTGCTCGGCAAGATCGATGCTGAGTACGTGCCGCCGGCTACGGCCGAAAAGTCGGGCAATGAAACCCTCGCGGAGCGTTGGATCCTTCACAAGCTTAGCGTTGCCTCCAGAGACATCAACAAGGCTTTGGAGGACCGTGAGTTTGCCAAGTCAACCCAGATTGCCTACCACTACTTCCACGACGATCTTTGCGACGTCTTCATTGTGAGTGTTTTTCTTGTTTGACGCAACGTCAACTGGTTCTAACTATTGCACAGGAATACACCAAGCCCATCATCCAGGACGGTACGCCCGAGGCGCGTCGCTCTGCCGTCAACACGCTGTACACGGCGCTCGAGGGCGGCCTGACAATGCTGCACCCGTACATGCCTTTCCTCACCGAGGAGCTCTGGCAGCGCCTGGTGCGCCGCCCCGGCGACAAGACGGAGACCATCATGCGTGCGGCGTATCCGCAGTACCGGTCGGACTGGGAAGACGCCACGTCCGAGGCCAGCTACGAGATCATCCTCGACGCCGCGGCCGCAGCCCGCAGCCTCGCGGCGCAGCACAGCCTCAAGGGCGCCAAGGCGGCCGTCAAGCTCGGCAAGTCTGACGACAGGGAAGCGGCTGGCAGCATCGTCAGCGTGCAGTGGCTGTCGGGCAAGGCCATTGGCGAGGTCAAGCTGCTGGCCGAGGGCGAGGCGGAGCCCGGAGAGGGCTGGGCGAGCAGCACGAGCGAGAAGGGTAGCAAGGTCTTCGTCGAGGTGCCGGCCAGGCCGCTGAGCGAGGAGAAGAAGGTGCAGGATTTGGAGAAGAGCTTGAAGGAGACCAAGGTGTAGACTTGGTAGTAGATGAAAAGAGCGAGATTTTTTTTTTCGTCTTGTTGTGAACTTTAGTAACAGCAGCAGCAAGATGATGGGTAGATAGGCAGGCTGGTAGAAAAGTATCAGTGCAGAGCGGGAGAAGAAAAAATTCATGCGTTTTGTTTAGTTCATTGTTTAGGAGGTTTGTGCGTGGCTATGTAAGGTTCCTGCTAGTTTTCTGTACATTTGACCGGTATCGAATTCTCGACGTTGGTGCAAAACCCGGCCGGTATTGCACGCGATGGTGGTCCTATCTTCCTCCCTTCTTCCCCTCCGATTTACAGACGTTTTAGTTTCTCTTCTCTTCCCACATCCCCCTTTTCATTTTCTCTTTCTTTTCCATGCCCCTCTATATATATACACATATATCTTTCTTTGCACATCCCTCCATCCCTCCCTCCCTCCCTCTCCCCCTCTTCCCAACTCACGCCACCACCGCCGCCCCCGCCACCGCTTTCTCAGCCTCCTCCACCGGCAACGAATAATTCCTCGCCGTGATGCTCGTCCGCCACTCCCCCGCATTGACGGGCTCATACCGCGCCGTCTCGCCCTCGTCGACGACGACGGGCGCCACCGTCGTGTCGGGGCTCGGGTGCACGAAGAAGGCGGTGGAGTAGCGGGCGGGGAGCATCGTTGTTGCTGCTGCTGCTGCTGCTGCTGCTGCTGTTGCTGCTGCGGCATCACCAGTAGTGCCGTCTGGAGAGGAGGAAGAAGAAGGAGAAGAAGAAGAAGGCGGCGGGGACACGACGCGGTGTAGCGTGCTGCGCAGGCGGTCGTTGGACCAGCGTTGCAGCAGGTCGGCGACGTTGATGACGCAGGTGCCGGGCAGGGGCGTGGCGGGGACGAAGGCGCCCGTGTGGAAGGGGTCGACTTCGAGGCCGCCGGTGAGGTCTTGGAAGAGGATCGTGCAGAGGCCTGTTTTCGTGTTGTTAGTTGGGGAGGGGGAGAGAGGGGAGAGGGAGCGAAGGAAGGGGAGAGGGGGGGAGGGTGGTTTTTCTCAGACTTACCGTAATCAGTGTGGGCGTGGATGCGTGAATGCTCGTCCGGGTTGGCGATGGTGGCGGCGGGGATGGGCATGTAGTGCAGCAGGCGCAGCTGCGGGTCGGCGTGGGTCAGGTGGCGGGCGAAGAAGTCGCGGGGCAGGCCGATGGAGAGGGCCAGGGCGGAGAGCACGGCGGCGGAGAGCTGGAGGCACTTGTCGTAGAAGATGCGCAGGCGCGGCTCGAAGTCGGGGAGGGCGGCCGGGTCGGGGAGCTGGGGGTTTTTGAAGCGGCGGTATTCTTTAATTGGTCCCTCAGTTGGTGGACATGTGCCTTTCCTTGTGATTGAAGCAGCTTACCGTAGCATTCCTTGTGATCTGGCTTCCTGTTGGAGACGACTTCTGCACCGTCTGCTGTGTAGCCTTGGTTCACAGCAGGGTCGGACAAGGCGTTGGCGAGCTTCGCTTCAATTGGCTGGTCGAAGTAAGACTTGCTCTGGGAACGCGCATTATTGTTGTAAGCTCTGGTTCCGCCCGGGTCATTGCCGAACATGGAAGGCTCTTACGAGGGCAAACATGCGGGCGACTTCCTCATCGGAAATGCCGAAGTCTTTCAGATAGACCCAGCCATAGGTGTGGAACGCATCGTACAGCTTCTGCGCCACCGCCAGCTGCTCCGATTCGGGAGCATTTGGGTCCAGAAAGGGCGCGAACGAGATGACGGGAAAATTTGCAGACTCGGCCATTTTCGAATCCAACGCACGGAGAAGCAGAGGCAGTGTGGAGGAGAGTGCGCGAGCAGAGCCGGGAGGACAGAAGACGTGAGCTATAACATTGACTCGTGCCGCAGGATCAGTCCGTCATGCGAGGGTGCTGCCGCCGGACAAGGTGGGGTCTTGGGTCCTGGGTCGGATTCGACGCGGGGTATCGTTTCTCAACACCATCCGTTCGCCCATCCATATCTGCTTCCCTGTCAGCACCCGCCCGGCGCACTTATCCGGCTGGCCGCAGCATAGCATGAGACCTCTCACAACATGGCGCACCCCACCACCAGCGGCGCCGGCACCGGGGCCTATCGAACGCCCAGCGTCCGCCGAGGCCGCCTCGTCCGACAGCGCGTATTTCAGGCCAGGACCAGTGGAGCAAGCGCCAGGGATGGCAACGCTTGTATGAGGCGTCGATCTAGGCTTGATGCGAGCTCCGCCTAGAGAGCCTCAGCCAAAACAATGACTCTTCCGCTCCAACGTCGGCTGATCATCATTCCACGCCTAAGTTTTTTTCTGCTCTTCTTTTCTGCTGTCGCTGCGTGCCTAAAACCAGCATCCCCATCCGCGCCGCATCGGGCCTGCAGTCATGGCAGACCTGGCCCCCAATGCCCCCGAACCGCGCGCGGCCGACGAGGAGGCGGTGATTGAAAGAGCGCGGGACAGCTTGAGCGGCTCAGACGGCGGCGCGGCGGAAAAGCTGGACGGGCTTCACGCGGTCGAGGACGAGCTGGCGGCCAATGATGTCGAGGCAGAGAATTCGCCGATCGAAGAGGTCCGGGCTGCGGTGCCGAACACGGACGACCCGGACATGCCCTGCAGCACCGGACGAGCCTGGTTCCTGGGCGTCTTGTTCGTGCTGCTGGGCTCCGGCGTCAACATCTTCTTTTCTCTGCGCTATCCGAGGTATGCGCTGCACGCCGGCGAGCACGCGGCGAGGCTGACGGCAGCGCAGTGTGCAAATCACCTCGTTGGTGGCCCAGTTGGTGAGCTATCCATGCGGCTGCTTTCTGGCCAAAACCCTTCCTATTGGCCGCTTCAACCCGGACCGCCACTTCAATGTCAAGGTAGCCCGCCAGCCAACCACAACACGGAAGATGCTCTTGCTTACTGCTCCTAGGAGCACACGCTGATCACCATCATGGCCAATCTGGCCTTCCCGTACGCCACCATGGCCAACGTCATTGAAATGCAAAAGGGCTTCATGGGCATCGACGCTCCCGCCGGCTACATCTTCATGTCCATCCTGTCCACCCAGTTTCTCGGCCTGGCCATGGCTGGCCTCTGCTCTGAGATCTTCGTCGAGCCTTCTGAAATGTACTGGCCCAGCACCCTGGCCAACATGGCTCTCTTCCGGACCCTGCACTCCAAAGAGAACCCTGTTGCCGACGGCTGGAGAATATCCCGCTATCGCTACTTCATCTACCTCTTCGTCGCTTCGTTCGTGTGGTACTGGGGGCCCGGCTTCCTCTTTACCGCCCTGAGCAACTTCACTTGGATCTGCTGGATTGCCCCCAACAATGTCGTTGTCAACCAGCTCTTTGGCCAGATTTCCGGGCTGGGCTGGTCTCCAATCACCTTCGACTGGGCTCAGGTTGCCTACAACAACTCCCCACTTGTCAGCCCCTTCATTGCCCAGGTCAACGTCATCATCGGCTGGGCCTTTTTCTACGCCATCCTCCCCTGCATCATCTACTACAAAAACATCTGGTATACCGGCTACTTCCAGATCAATGCGAATGCGGCCTATGACAACACGTGAGTGCGCTGCGCTGGGAACACGTCGCATGTCTGCTAATCTCGACTCAGTGGAGCCAGCTACAACATGTCTCGCGTCATCGACTCAAACGGCGTCTTCGATTACGAGGCCTACCAGACATACTCGCCAATCTTTTTGCCCACCTCATTCGCCATATGCTTCGGCGTCGCCTTCGCACTGCTGACCTGCCTGCCCGTTTACACGATCCTCTTCCACGGCCATCAGATAAGAGCCGCCATCACGGGCCAAAACACGTACGACATCCACCAGAGGTTGATGCGGCGCTACCGCGACGTGCCGAAATGGTGGTACGCCGTCATCCTCGTCGTCTGCTTCGGCATCGCCGTCGGCTCGGCCGAGCGATATGAGACGGGCTTTCCAGTGTGGGCCATCTTCCTGGCCTTCGTCCTGGCGGGCGGCTTCGTCATCCCCGTGTCCATCGTCATGGCAACATCGAATCAGAACGTCAACATGCTGTGGGCGCTTGGAGAGATCATAGCGTATGTAATATTTGGTTCTCTTTGACCGAACACTCAAAAGACTCCCCACTGACTCGTCCCCGCAACAAACAGCGGCTTCCTCATGCGCGGCCGGCCCATCGTCAACTCCAGTTTCAAATACCTCATCTACACGGGCGTCTCGCAAGCCATGTCCTTCGGCGCCGACATGAAGCTGTCGACCTACTCCAAGGTCCCCAAACGCACCACCTTCGCCTGCCAGATGCTCGCCGCGCTGCTCTCCACCGTCGTCCAGACCGCCGTCCTCACCTGGGCCCTCAACCACATCCCGGCCATCTGCACCGCCGACCAGCCGGACAAGTTCACGTGCCCGCAGGGGCGCACCAACTTCGTCGCCAGCGTCGTGTGGGGCGGCGTCGGCCCCGCGCGGCTGTACGCCGTCGGCCAGCGCTACAGCGGGCTGCTGCACATGTTCTGGCTCGGGGCGCTGCTGCCGCTGGCGACGTGGGCGGCGCTGCGCCGGCACGCGGGTACGCCGGCGGCGTGGTGGGCGCGCTGGCTGCGCCACGCCTCGTGGCCGCTGCTGCTGGGCGGCACCGCCAACATACCGCCCGCGACCGGCATCAACTTCACGGCCTGGTTCCTCGTCGGCGCCGCGTTCAACGGCGTCGCCAGGCGCCGCCGCCCCGCGTGGTGGGCCAAGTACAATTACGTGACGAGCGCGGCGCTGGACAGCAGCGTCGCCCTGGCTGGACTCGTCATCTTCTTCGCCGTCAGCTACCCCGGCGCGAGCGTCAGGTGGTGGGGCACCGTCGGGTATGCGGACACGGCGGATGGGAGGGGCGAGAGCTTTTATAAGATCCCCGAGGGCGGCACCATCGGGCCGGAGACGTGGTGAGCTGGTCGGGTGGTTGTCGACGGTTTTTCGGGGAGAGGAGGGGAGGGGAGGGAGGGAGCTGCGTGGTTTGTTTTCCTCGAAAAGGCAGAGGGGAGGGGCGGCGGCGGCGGCCTTGTGAAAGAGTGTGGTGTCGTGTCGTGGTTTTCGGCGGCCGCCTGGACCTTTTCCTGATGGTCATATATCCTCGATAGATGGGTTTTCGAAGTTTCCCTAGAAGGATCTGACATTCGTGCAATTTGCTTGCGTTTCTTTTTTTTTTTTTGGCGGCGGACGCGTGAGTAGAGGTCGAATGTGGTAAAGGCCTTCCTTGTTCGGCGTGGAGGCTGCGGGCGCGGTAGGGTCCCGATCGACGCTTCTAGGGTCGCTCTGGGAAAAATCGAAGAGGAACGCACGGCTGCTCGACAATCGAAAGCGCGGGGAGTCGTCGTGATTTGACGCGTCGTGTCTGGTGTTGGGTAGGTAGCTGGGAAGACTATACCTAATCCGGCATGGTTGCCATGCCGGTCGCCGGGGTTCATCTCTGAGTTCTCGTTTCTCCAAACCTCTCCCTCGCTCTTCCAATCAAGTTGGAATCCACGAGCTCATCGATTCGGGGTTTCGTCGTCCGACCCGCGGCCACGAGGACGAATGCAGTATTACTGTGACACCATTGCGCATCGTCAGCCATTGATCAGGTCATGGCCGGAGAGGAAAGAAAGAGGGGGCCAGTTCGCCGAGTTTATGAGCCTTGCACACACGGGGAACCCGGAGACGAGGGGAATGCAGGGTGTCGATGATGTCCGAGCGAGGAAAATTCCCGAGGACGCAGAATCAATGTGGGTCACATGATGTCGAGGGAGTTAAGGAAAGAGGAGGCATGGAAGAGTGGAGGGACTCGGCTGCGGTGGGATCATCAGCGCCATTCTGCTTCCTTAAATGCCATTTCGGGGCCTCTCTCATCGACCGCCTCGAACTGATCAGCCGTGGGCCGTCGGTGCGGCTGAGGCGGGCTTTGGGCATGGAATTTTGAAGATTGGTATGTCGGGAAGCCACTTTGAGACGAAAAGGCAAAGGTGAATCTGTATGCTGCGGGGAAGGGTATAGCGGTGGCGTACTCCAACGCCTCTCGCAACGCATGGCTTCCACGGCGGCGTCCGCTCTCCGCCTAGTCCTCCCACCCATCTACGCCGCAAACGTACCTTGTACCGAACATGGCCATACCAAGCCACAATTTCCTCGGTCGGGCCAAGCCCTACCCATACCAGGCCCAGCGTAAAAATCTCCAGAGGCGCTTTATCCGGGGTAGCTGGGCTGACTCCGACCTTCCGCCGCAATTCACTACTCATGCTCAGGACCCTACGCTCTTTTGTGGATCCGATATCTGGACGAGTTTTCCGGCATTCCAGACTCACTCATGTCCGGACGGCCCGGCTCTGTGCATTCACTCGGGCCAGATTCAATACTTCGAAAGACTTGGGTCGGCCGAAGCGAGCACACGGCGTGTTCTGTCACCAGCCACCACAAATCCGGGGAAATTTCCCCACGCTCCTCTTCGGGGCCGAGGCTTTCTGCCGCCGTCCCGAACCGCCTTCAAAACTGCGGGCTGGTGGGTCTCACTTGACTGCGCACTACACGATGCATCATGTTATTCCCTTCACATGAGAAAGGCGGCCCGACGGACGGGGCAATGGACAAACTCAGCTGGCTGGCAGGGCCACGGAAAAGGACAACCCCAGCTCGCACGATTGCCGGCCATCGGCCCCTCGCCGGTGCTCGAGCTGGTACGTGGATCCGAACTGCGACATGCTTGCCAAGCGACGTGGACAGGTGACAAGACACTGGCGCGCGTGGTGTAGTATCGAGGACGCCGACTCTCCGCTGCGACGTTCCCTTGCCGCCGAATCCATGGGTCCGCCTCTTGGCTCTTCAAGAGCTGAACTTGCACCCGGTATCTTGGCCTTGGAGCGGAGCCAACAGCGCCTGATCGAAGGGTCTCGGCGGAGTCCCAATTGATCAGGGGTGCACGTGCTGGCTGTCACTTTGGCTCGTTTCCAGCTGACACGGCCACGGGCACGATCTAAACAAACCGCGCTCCCCTTTAATAAATACCTCACAGCTTCCCTGCAGCAATCTATCGTGGTCAGGATGCTCTGCACCCGCCGATCTGGTGCGATACGAGGCTGAGGAGTAGAAAGTGGTAAAAATAGACCACGGCTTGATGGGTTTGCAAGAGGAAGAAGAGGAACTTGCTGGAAGCTGCCGGGACTACAGATGGTGGCGCCCAAAAAGGGCGCGGCTCGGGTTGCCCGGCGCATACGGCTAAGCCTTTGCTACAACCGGGGGCTGAAGCTTAACCACGGGTCGAGCTTCCCGCCCCGCAAGGGTCATCAAGCAGTATAGCCCTGCAACAAACACACCAGCTTCTTCCCACGATAGGTACACCCCGCATGCCGCGACTTGTAAACCAGGTCGACAAGCGTCGCGCCACTCAACGCCTTCCCACGACAGGGAACCGCCAAAGTATCGTCAAGGCTCACACGAGGGATAATCACTGAGCCATTTTCCGTGCGCGGCAGGACTAGGACGGCATAATTGACGCGTATTCGCACCCCGCGATCCCTGTCAACAAGCCTCTGATGAGCCCCTAGGCGCTGGGGGAGGTTGACGTTTGATAGAGGGCCTTGTGCTGCGCCTCGATGCAACCCCGTGGAACGCAGGAGCCTCTTCCGGTTCGACTAACTCGAAGTGGAAAGACAGGTAGCCAAGGCCGTCCGGGGGCGATTTCTTGGACTGCCTGCTGCATCCGGCTCGAGATGGCCGGATTGTTCTGGCCGCCTTCTACCAGCCTTCGGTCGTGCGTGATGGTCGGGGAGTACTTAAACCACAGACGCTTGCGATGTGACTTTGTGCTCCACTACAATCGCTCTTTCATCTCGTCTCTACGACATTACAATCATTTCTTGTTGCATCCACGACAATGGTATTCAATTTGGACGTACGGTCCCTCCACTCCCCCCATGTGGTCAAGTTGGAGAACAGCTTCGTGTCGAAGCTCGCTCCTTACTGCGGCATGATCCTTTTGGTCTGCCTAATCGTCATATTTCTCATCCGCTTCTACCTCTTCGAAGGGCTCCTCATGCGACGGCTCTACGGCGCAAAGTACACGCAGATGGACGAGACGGTGCGGCGGGGGTTCGTCAACCACCACGTCGCCGGGGGCATCAAGATCATCCTCCTGGCGACGGCCGTGTACCCCTTCGTCTCGGTCGCGTTCGGGTCGTCGTCGCTGCACAGCCCGATCGCGGCGAACAGCCTGGTGACCATGGGCGACATGATGGTGGTGTGCTCGCAGCTCTTCATTGGCATGTACGTGTTCGAGCTCTTCTACCGGACCAAGATCTCGCCGGTCAGCGTGCTCCACCACATCGGCGCGATCCTCATCGCACAGAGCGCGGTGACCATCAGCATGGACACCAGCCACGAGGAGGACGCCACGATCGAATTCGTTCTCTGCTTCGTGTGGGGTGAGTGTCGTGCTTCGGACTGCAGGAGACGGACGTCGGCGGCTGACACTGTTCACAGGTGCTTTCGACGTCATCGCAGAGTTCCTGCCCCATGTCGCCATCATTCTCTACCGCGTGTATCCCGACGACCACGTCTTCCTCGCCAGGGTGTTCAAGGCGTCGTGCTTCACGGAGCTCGCGGGCACGACGACCGAGACGGCGGTGGTCATGTGGCTCTTCGGCAGCCTGTGGCACCGGTGGACGCTCGCGTTCAAGATCTCGACGCCGATCCTGCACGTCGTCTTCAGCGCCGCCCAGCTGTGGGGCGCCATCATCTTCAGACGCATGTGGAAGCACCAGGAGCGCCTGATGTGCGAGGAGAAGGCCGGAGCCGACGCACCCCTTTCGGCATGAGTCGTGCATTCTTATTCTTGTATACTCTGTTGTTTCACAGCCATTTATGAAGACACCCTCTTCCAATCAAATGCCACAGTCGCCTTACACAAAAATTGCGATGCCGCTGATCATTTGCTGAAACCCCCCGCGCACGGGCCAGAGTTGTCCGGCTGCTTGCTGATGCTTCCATTGCCCTATACCCGAGACCTCTGCATGGAGCTGGACATACGGTATCACGCTTACTCGCCAGGGTTCGACGTTTCAGCACCCCCAGGCGCCGGCGTGACGAAGTGGCGGCCAGGCTGTTAGTCGTGCCAGCCACCCGCCGATCGGTTTACCGAAAAGCTTGCTCGAATAAGCTACCCCCCGTTGCTTTTGCCAGCCCCCACAGCGCCGGGAGAACACTGCGTATAACTGTTGCAGCCGGGGCTGCGGCCTACTGCGCCGCTTTTTCGCTCCCCTTCGTATATAATACGTCACAACCCCCCCGCGCCGCCAACCGTGCCATGCGCTTTCACCGTCTCTTCTCCTTTTTCGACCATGGACCGCGACGCGCTGATCTGAAACCAAGCTTCTCGCTCGCCAGCGACCGACCTTGTTGGACTTTAACATGACGCCCCCGGATCCGTGGTTCGACAGAATCATCGAGGACAGGGCCAGATTCGCGCCTCGACCTTGCAAGTTTGTCGAGCTCTGGCAGTATGAGAACGGGGATGTTTCCAGCCGCGTTGAAACGCTGCGACCGGACGAGATTGAGGATTGGGTAGCAGAGAAGGTAGGACGTCTCATTTGCAAACACCATTCGCCCACGTCGGCCGCAACCTCGCGGTGGATAAATGACGACCACGGCGGGCGGCTTATTCGGACTCAGGGCGATACTTGGAAGCGTCCAGCGACTGCCGTTGGGGGCCTGCGTCTTCTGTAAGCCGCCTCGGTGGGCGTCCGAGGGGCAGAGGCTGACCATCGAGAGCACAGTGTCGCACCCGCTCAGCTTGTGTCTTACGGAAGCCTGACCTGGCCCCTTTCCCGGGACAACTTCAGGTTGCTGTTTGCCGACTTCAATCTGTTGACCGCCGTATGCAACGCGTGCCTGACGGGTAACAGGATGCTGGTCTGCTGCAGGTCCCACTTTCCTTCCAGGGGTGTCTTGTGTAAGCACACTCCGACAAGACCATGCATGCAATCGGCGTGTCGCTAAATGCTAGGGAACCAGCGTGGGTATGTCGGCAGCTGTCCCATGCGGCATCCTTGACGTACCACGTCAACACCAACACTGTAAAAGGCGTCGTCTTTATCGAGTCGTCGTTATTAGACTTGCTAATTAAGAGAACGGTTGCTTTAAAAGCCTGGGCCTGTCATCCGATGCTTGTTCCGCTCGTCGTGTTGATACAGGAAACGGACAGGCTTTCCGACCAGAGGAAGCAAGACAATCAAAACACCTTGGGTCTGGAAGAGAGAATCGGCCTGCGCCGGGACTGGACCACGGACGGGAACTTCTTGAGCAAGACGGAAGACGCCATGCGCCAAACGCTGGAACTCCTCACCATGGTGACGAACCATAAAGCCGACACGGAGATACTAAACAAGAACTTCATGGACACCATCGCAAACAACATCAGACTGATCAAGCACCAAGTGTCGCCGCTTTTGGACAAATCGAGCCGGGAGCGTATGGACCAACATTCACTCGACGTGGAATACCTCCTTGAGTGTTTGCGCCAATCGAACATCAGCATCGCAGCGAGTTTCGGTGCGCTTCAGAAGCGGGTGGAGATACAAATGACCGCTGTAAGTGCAGGTGGCGTCTCTCCCCTACCGAAGACAAGCTCACGCCTGCGGGACGACAGCTCTACACGCTCGTCGGCCAGCGCGACAGCAAGCTGAATCTCGAGATGGCGTACGATTCTCGCCGGCTGGCAAGCGCATCGAAGCGCGACAGCTCGTCGATGAAGACCATCGCCGTGCTGACTACCGTGTTCCTACCCGGCACCTTCATCGCTGTAAGTCATTTGTCGGCCGGGGGGTGGTGGTGATGGTGTTTGTTGCAGCTTTGCTCACAGCCCGAGGCAGACCGTCTTCTCCATGCCCATGGTGGACTACGCACCGGCTCAGTTCTGGATCTACCTGGCCATCGCCATCCCCCTGACCCTGGTCGTCTTGTCGGTTTGGGCGGCTTGGATGCTGTGGATCGAGCGCCGGAACGAAAGAGAAGACAAAAGGGCTGAGGAACGCCTCCCCATCTACGACAGTCGAGAGGAATACGGTTTGAACAAGCTACCGGCCCTCAGGCGCCTGAACAGGGTGCTATGTCAAGATTGAAATGGAACCGGGCAGTGAAGGTCGGTTCCGGTTTGTGCAGCGAAAATGACGGGGGAAACGGACGGATGCATACCACCGGCGCTCTGCATGCCCGATCCAATCGGGATGAGAATTTCGTCCGCAGGTTGACATGCTGCTTTTCTCTGGACGCCGCTTCTGGTGCTTCTTGGCGGAGTTCGTCCGCTCGACCGGCTGCTCCAACAAACTCAACCACGGCGCTACTGCCTCCCACAGGAACCTCTGCCATAGTCAACGTTGTCGACGATCACTCCGTCACAAGAGGATGTGGCGAGGCTTATCGTCGCCGCGGCGTTGGAGGAGGGTGAGCGAGCTGAGGGGGTGCTGGAGGTTTGGGAGCTATGTGTGAGACTGATTGACGTTGACGATGGGATTGATGCAGGTTTCAGGTTCAAGGTCATGTACGATGATGACAACATGTCACATGTGTAGCTAATATTTGGTTGGTCTATGAACGGGGCGGGGACGAAGCGTGGATTGGCTTTTGTTCTGACTTGTATCCTTCCAGAAGCGATATCAGGGCCAGAATGCATTCCGTGGTTCCTTTCCCCAGAGAGTTGACGATGCACCTGTACGACCGAGCCCGAACTCGAACTTCTGAGTTTTTCGATACGCCTTGGATGTTGAGCGAAGCTTGAAAACCCCCATGGCGTTTTCTCGGACTCCGTAGCTCGGAGGCTGGGTGAAATCAGTCAGCACCTACTTGTGACGACTGCGGCCAGCGGGGAAAAGGCTTACCTCGTAATCCTGTATTCTTAACATCCCTGTGTCGTAAGGCATCTCGCGGAACTCAAGACCCCTCCTCATTCTGACTAGGACGCGGCTGCGAATGTCCATTTCCTTCTGGTCCCACTTTCCGCACTCCTCGCACCACCTCTCCACGTCTGGACCCGACACATGAAAGGGGAACGTTATGCATTGAAAGCCGGCCGCATTGAGATCGTAGAGGCTTCCGAAAAGCGCATGGTGCAGGTGCAAGCATGATGTGCTGCAGGTTCGGAGAAGCTGCACCCAGCCGCCCTCGATCAAGCCTCCCTGCTCGAAATGCAGCATTCGGAGCGACGCGCTGTGGTTTGCATGGAGCTTCTGAAGCGTCTGCGAGGTCGTGACGAAGTGCTTCAGGCGCAGCGCTCTCAGCGTGTGGGGGCGCACTCTGGCCGCAATGGTGGCTATCGTTTGCGAATTGAGGCAAGCGTAGTCTGTCCCGCACACGCAGAGGTCCTTGATGTTGGGCGCCGCCCTCAGGAACCGGCTCAGGATGCGTGAGCCGTGGAAGTCTTCGCTCTTCCCGAACGAACCCGTGTTCAAGCCGAAGCCGGACAGCACCATCGTCAGCTCTGTGAGATTGGCCATGGTCCCGGCGCCCATGTGCTTGTTCCAGATCCTCGTGTCTCCAGCGGGGGAGAGCCCGGGATATATCCTTGTGTAGTGACCAACCCGGAGGGTGCGGACGCGGTCGCTCACCGTGGAGACGGCGTCAAGGGCGTTGGACATCAGCGCCTGGACGCTTTCAGATGCCTCTCGAGCATCTGGCCAGTGCTCCTCGAGCGCGAGCATGTTGATATGGCCGTCGAGGTGCCCGATCCCGATCCCGAAGCCGATAAAATCCACCTCGACCTTGCGGAGCTTGACCAGCCGCCCGAGGATGCGCTTCAGAAGCAGGGTGCGACGCTCTCTCCCTTGGGCACTTTCTTCGCTCGGCCAACGCGAGCAAAGCTCGCGTCCCCCCATGCTTTGGGCGTCAGCCTTTTCACAGGTTTGGGCGAGGTACCTCCATGTCGTCTCGGACCACGGGAGGGTGAGGCAGATGTGGATCTCGGAAATCGCCTCGGCGATGGCGGGTATCCTTGATATAGCATCTGCTCGTTGCAACCTTGTCGGCACCGCCATCGGAATAGCCACGACGGGATGTGAACATAGGTCGGTAATGTTGGAGCGAACGAACAGGTCTTCCATAGCGTGACGGAAGTCCCGAGACACGGCTCGAAGGTTGCGGACGCTGGCATCGTCCAGGTGGTCTCCGATCAAGAGTACAACGTCCAGGGGGAGATGGTCGAGCAACATGGCCGTGGACGCATTTGGCGCATCACTCTCGGCACGGGTTAGGATCAAAGACTCTTGTTCTTGTAGTATCTGTCGTAGCCATGGGGTCCAAGGGAGGAGTCGGGCGCGGCGTCCTGGCCAGTTGTGGGAGCCCATGTTGGCACGCAATAGCTGTGATGGTGAGGAGATCAAAGGGCGGCGTTCACTTTATGAGGACGAAATTTTCCACATGGTCCATACCACCCGACCCAAATGTGGTTCCGCGGTAGTGGTTCTGCGGTAGTGGTTCTTCAGCAATGGTTCTGCGGTAATGGTCCTGCGGTAACGGTCTCCTATTTGTTAAGTGAAGAACAGGGTCCAAAGGGTCCAGCTCGAGGACAAGGCTGGTCTCATCACTTCAACAAGTTTGTACCAACAAAATACGATAGCAGTTATAATTCAGAAATCTAGCGCTGTGTTTGAACGGAAAGGCGGGCAGACGCTAGCCAAGCCAGACTTGCGCCGATCATTGTTGAGGTTCTCTTCATATGTGCAACTCTCGTAGTGGCTGGGGAGGGGACACACGGCGTAATGGTTGAACTGTCGGAGGGAAGACTGTGGTCGGTACGTCCAGCTGAGAGAGATGCAGAGCATCGGCTACGAGGTCTGATCACGGGAAGCTGGAATGCTTCGGAAAAACAATCCGGACGACTCCTCTCAGCGGTCACCCCTGCTCCTCCTGACACGTCTCGGTTCATTTGAAAATTGGCGCATTCCTCTTGGCGTTGGCACGCGTGTCCAGGCAGCAGGACAAAGGCAAGATATACGTCGTCGACGACGGCCACGGCGGGAATGGCATACGCGCGGAGACTACGCCAGCCGCTGACAAGGACTGACGACGGGACCCTCAGGCAGCAAGAAAAGGACGACACGGGCGCGGGGGAGCGAGGACACGCGTGGTCTTATATTGTGGAGGATGCGGACGGGCGCCAAGAGGGAGAAGCTTGGTGTTCCTCGTGGCCGGAAAGGCTTAGGGCTCGCGGAAGTTGCCAGCGCGAGAGGATTTGCCTATCTCGGCAAATGTAGGCCGCATTGGCCAATGGCCGCGGTGCCGCAGGTGCGCAGCACTGCTGCCGCGACGTGGGCGTGGGCGGGGCCGCGGCCGGGGCAGCCAGGAGAGCGGAGGGTGCGTGGGTGGAACCTACGGTGAGGGCGCGCAGTAGGTATGATTTCATGATTCCCAGATTCCCCGGCGCGCAGGCGGTGCAGGCGGTGCAGCCGGCGCAGGCGGGCTGTGTGCGCGCGCGCGGGTTTGATCCTTCGCAAGGCTGACTCACAGGGCAGACTCGCCGACTCACCATCGCATCAGGCCATCCCAGGAACCAACAGCGCCGCCGCGGGCGCGCGCCGCGACTGGCTGCAGCCGGTGCCGCATGGCGTATTGGCGCGCGCTGGCACGGGGCAGAAGCTTGATCCATAGCGAGCGCATCGTGCGGAGAGTGCGAGTGGAGATGGCTTGGCCGCGGTGATTCGAAACGGACAGCGAAAGCGAGATCGAAGGCGACGCGGGCGACGCGGGCGACGCGGGCGAGCCAGCGTTTCCGCCCCCACGGGCACGAGGGCACGAGGCAGCCCTGGCCGCGCTGCCTCACCGACGCCCGCGCCTGCGACGGCGCCGCAGACAGCCGCCCATGCGGCTCAAAAGGCGGCCAGCAGCCAGGAGCAGCGAGCCCTCGCTGCAGCTCGTGACGCCGCCGCCGTCCAATCGCCGTGCCGCGCCCCGCCCGCAACAGCGTCTCGCGCTTCGGCCGCTCGCGCTCGTCCGTGGCCCGCAGCACAGCCTTGCCGCACATCAGCGCCCGCCCCCCATCCGGCCTAGCGCCGCTGCGTAGCTCGCGCTGTTGCCTAAACCCTCCGCTGCGACGCTGGGACGTCAGTAGTCATCTCCGCCGCCCTCCACCACCAAAACCTACGCCCTCCCCTCGCCCTCGCCAGACCCGCGACTGCGCTTGCTCCGTTGTTTCTGCGTGTCGCACGGCCTCGTCATCGCCGCCTTTTGCTTGGCTGCTCCCTGACCCTGCCCGGCCTGTCCTGCAGATCCGCCCGCACACGCCCATTTCCAGCGCCCTTCGCCCTCTTCATATACCCATCCTCCTCCGCCGCCGCCGCCAGCCCGCCCGCCCGCACCGCCCTGACACCGGCTTCCCTCGCCCGTCCGCGCTGAGTTTTTTTTTTTTTTTTCTGTTGGCCACACCCGTCTGCCAACCTGTCTGCCATCCGGCCTCCAGCGCCTGCAAAGTCCGGACCACCACCCCCAACCCCAAGTCGCCCTCAGCCTTGCTTGGACGAGGCCGTAACCGCCCCGCATTGGACCGTCTGCCATCCTTCCAGTCACGCTCCACCGCTTTGCCCTTCTGCACTGCCCGCTGCCCACTGCTTGCCGACCAAGGCCGTTAGGCCCGATCTGGAGGTCCCATTATCAACTGATCGGACCCAAGTGATTCACCCTCCCAGAGCCTCCGTCCAGTGAGTCATACCGCGAGGGAGCTCCGGAACACCGCCCGCAGCGACTAATGACATCGCATAGGAGCAAACCTTCCTCCAACATGGACTCGACCAACCAGATCCACCCCCGCCGCCGGCCTCAAAAGGTGTCTGGCTCCGCCATGGCCCCTCCCTCTCTCACCACCTCCAACCTGCGCAAGTCTGGTACTTTCCACTCGCCCACCCAAGTGTCCAGCGACCTCGTCGACCCGCTCGCGCCCTGCTTCTCCATGCCCAGGCGCTCCGAGACCAATCCGCAGGCCCTCGAGCAGATCCTCATTGACGCCGGCGAGAAGAGGATCTCGGACCTGCTCACCTCCTTCGACAACGTCATTGCCGGCAAGACGTCGTCGGATGCCAGCATCCTGGCCGACAGCAGGGTCCTTCCTGTCCCCAGCTTCATGCTGGACAACCACGCTCCTGTCGCCGACCCGGACATGATGGAGCTGGACACCAAGCCCAAGCTGGAAGTGGTTGACCACCACCACGCCTCCGACAGCGGTCTGGGTTCTTCTGTCAGCGGCTCCGTCTACGGTACCTCACCCGCCGCCCTCCCCTCGCCTGCCGCGACTGACAAGTATAAAGACGCTCACTCTGCCCGTCGCTCGGTGCGCTCCTCTGCCACCACCACCACTCGCTCGGCAGTGACCAAGTCTTACTCGGGCCTCTCCGTCAGCGCCGAAAAGATCCGCGGCCTGAGCGAGTCCGCCTCCAAGCACATCCAGAGGCGCATCGTCCGGCCCATCCTCCAGGAGGCCGCCCTCAAGGAGTTCCACCCGCTCATCAAGGACGTGCCCCGTCGCATTGGTGCCAAGGAGATCACCAACCTGCGCGATCTCGAGAAGACGCTCATCTTCCTCGCTCCCGTAAGTTCAGATGAGTATACGTTTTGCAGTTCTTTCGCTCATGTGCTTCGTCGCATAAAGGAATACGCCGTCTCGCCAGCCAACTATCAACGATTCTGCGAAACAAGCGTCACCTTTATCGCCAACACCGTCGGCTACCTCTGCGAGGCCGACCAGCGCCTGCCAACCGACCGCCCTTACACTAACAACTACTTTCTCGATCTCGTCGAGCAGATTCGCCGCTACGCCGCAATCATGGCTGCCACCCGGGAAAAGGAGGCCTCTGGAGAGGCGCTGGACGAGATGGACTACCACCCGTATGTTCCCCGCGCGTCACGGGGTTTTGACGAATCAAAGCTGACGCCTTCCTTCAGAGACGAGAAGGTCACCCTCAGGGGTGGCTTGAGCCACAACGGCAAGCCCGCCGAGCTCGTGCGTGAGAGAAACGGCAAGGTGATCCCCATTGCCACCGAGGCCGAGGGATCGGCACTGAACGCAGCGTTCAAGCGCCCGCTGGATGTGGATGAGGACGACGAGGATGAGGACAGCGTTCACCGTTCGATGGCCCGCCGGCGCAAGTCTGACCGTCCTGGCGACGTCATGCACAGGTGTGCCGACTGCAAGAAGGAGTTCAAGCGTCCCTGCGACTTGACCAAGCACGAGAAGACTCACTCTCGGCCGTGGAAGTGCACCGAGGCCAAGTGCAAGTACCACGACCTCGGCTGGCCGACCGAGAAAGAGCGCGACCGCCACGTGAACGACAAGCACACTGCGGCCCCGCCCCAGTACAAGTGCTTGTTCTCTCCGTGCGCTTACGCCTCCAAGCGCGAGTCCAACTGCAAGCAGCACATGGAGAAGGCTCACGGCTGGACCTACGTGCGATCCAAGGCGAACGGCAAGGGTGTAAAGAAGCCCTCGGCCAGCTCCACCTCTCTTACTCCTTCTACTCCTCTTACTCCATTCATCAACACGCCTGCTTCGGCTCCGATGCACCAAATGAACACGCCTGTGACTCCGTTTGACAACTCGCCCGCCATGCCTCCGTCTTCGTATGGTGGTGGCGACTTTGAGTTTGACAACAACAACTTCAGTTACAACGGCAACCTGCCGATGCTGAACACCGACTTCCAGCCGGACTGGCGCCGCGAGTCCATCACGACGGCCGGCACTTCAATGACCGGCTCGTCCTCTCACTCTCCCGCGCAACCCACGTCTTTCGAGGAGGCCATCACGACTCCTGACACCGACTTCAACCACTCTGCGGACAGCTTGCTCTTCGACCAGAACTTCAACTTCAACTCCAACCTGCAGCAACCAACGCCTGCTCTCAGCAACGATGACAACATCTTCGCTGACCACTTCCCTCCGTTGTCGATGAACAGCCAGGGCCTCAACCTTGCAGGCTTTGGTTCGGCTGACAGCACGCACTTGTCTCCCGGCGCCCAGCCTGACTTGACGCTGTTCAGCCCGATGACCACCAACAATAACAACATGCACATTGACGAGGGCTTTGGCGACGACTTCCTCCCGTCTGGGGACTTCACGCTCTTTGACTCGATCGGCAATGCCTCGGCCAACAGCAATGGCGAGGGAAGCAGCAAGTGGTTCCAGGACCTGTCGAACTTTGGCGGTCAGTTCGACAACGTCTTCTGCCAGCCTGAGTCGTTCAACGACATGGCCGCATACGATTTCCAGTAAACCATGGGCTTGAGCGCAATGGTTTGCCGTGTTTGCATAAGATTTCCTGTTCTATTTCCTTCCCTTCCACGCCGCTTCGACGGTCGTGTTGAGGTTTTCAAACTTTTGGTGAGCGTTTTTTGAGCGAATCATTATTTTCTTTACGATGTGGTGAGTGAAATCACCATGGATTGATGATGAAGGGTGGCTTCGTTGTGGAAGCCTCCGCATCCTGTGGGATGTGTTGGACGGGACACCATTCCGATCCGGTCTTGGTAGGAATCAGAGGAGAAGTAGGGAAGCACAGGGAAACGAAAACGCCAGAAAAAAAAACCACCCCAAGGCTTGAGTTTTGTTTGCCAGCTTTTGCACGCTTTACTCTTTTCACATTTTCTCCACCCAGATTGGATCAGAATGTGCTTTTCCGGTTGAGCGGTAATATTGGTTTTCCCCAGAATGGGTGCACTCCCAACTTCTTCAAGGCTTCCTTCAATGGGGCCCAGGGTTTGAGGCTATAGAGCCCATCCCTCTTGTAGCATAGATAGCACCACGGTTGAAAGGGATACGGGTCACGAGGGATGGATACGTCACTCCAGAAAATCTACATTATCTGAAAACTTTTCGGTGCCCAATGCCATGTCTGGTGATAGAGGTTAATTCTCTCATACATGTTGGTCACTTGTGCTACGTAGAGCAGATGCTCCCGACGAGGTATCAGATGGCCAACAGCATAGAAGGGGATGCGACTGTGGTTTTACGAGATCATTTCGAATTCCGTGTCGCCTCATCAACCCTTGGGATGGGTTGTAGGGTGACAAGTCAGCGCCTTTTAGGGGTCAAGAGTGGGTGTTGCTCTCGGTACTGTTTCGCTGGAAGACTACTTGGTCGTTGTTTGGGCCAGTATAGAGGCCAAGTGTGCACGGTTGAAGCGGGTGAGGTGCATGCAAATAATGGCGCGGTCCTCAACGGTTTTTGGTGGTGACGTAGATCCGCCAGTCTTGAGACATGGCCCAGGGCGGGGACCAGAGGCTATAAATTGCAGACATCACTGGCGGCCAACGCGGACTACATTGGGATACGTTGCCAACCACCTTACCCATACACATACATACACACACACGATGCCTACCACGGAACCACAACCACACGACAGCCAACGCGACGACAACGCGCGTCATCCCCGTATCGCCAGTCTCGACTACCTCGACTGCCTTCGCCGCGTGAACAGCACAGCTGCCGGTCGTGGCAAGAGAAATGGCAGCCGCAACGGCAGCGGCAGCGGCAGCAACAGCGACAGCGGCAGCAGCGACGTCTCCAGCCCACCGAGCCCAACGCCCGCAACCCGCCGACCTGTAGGACGAAAGCAGCGGCAACAACAACAACAACAACAACAACAACAGGGCTGGTCGAGCGACGACGCCCTTCCATCAAGAAGAAGAGGGAGGGCCGAGTCCAAGTACGGACTCATCACCCTCTATCCTCTAGTTCCCAGGAAACCGTCCATGTCGCCGTCGTGCCGGAAACCGGTCCCGCTGACCCCTACAGCCGTCGACTGGTCGCGTGTCCCTGGTCGTGGGGACGGGCGTGAGGACAGCGACGACGACTACGCCGACGACTGGGATGACGACGACGACGACGTCCGCAAGAACAGAGACGAAACGGCGCAAGGGTCACCGCACACGCAGTCGACGGTGGCGGTGCCACGTCCTTCGGCCCCGGCTTCATTTCCTCCTCTTGGACCCTCCTACTTTTGCGTTCCTCCTTCTCCTCCTCATCCTCGCATTCCATGGGACTGGTGGTACCAGGAGATATATGACGTGGTGGGGAGAAGGAAGAGGACGAGGCCCGATGACATGGAGTGGACGATGTTGCCGAAGACGTCGTTGGGTGAAGGTGTTGGGAAGAGTAGGAAGAAGCGGCCAGCGCCATTGCGGTTGGCGGCGCGAATTGAAGACTGGGCCATCGTGGCCTCGAAGGAGAAGATAAGGGATGACGAGGCAAAGGATGAGAAGGCAAAGGACGAGAAGGAGACGGATGAGGAGGAGGAGAGTGACGAAGATGAGGACGAGGATGATTTTAAGGATGAGGATGATTTTAAGGATGAGGATGATTTTAAGGATGAGGATGATTTTGAGGATGAGGATGATTTTAAGGATGAGGATGATTTTGAGGATGAAGATGACTACGAGGAAGACAACGGAAACGAGTCGGATGAGTACGTCAACGTGGAGAGGCAGTCGTCAGTCTCTTTCGAGACTAACAAGACGAACGAGGAGGAGTGCCGGGGGAAAAATGACTTCCTAGTGAAGAAGTTTGCCGACATGGTGTTTGATACGGCGAAGGCTCGGATCAGCGAGACAGCAGGGTTGGTACAGGCAGGATGGACCTCGCTAAAGAAGGTGAAGGGAAATAGGCTGGGGGCGAATACTGGATCTTGGCAGACGAAGGCGGAGCCGGGTGGTGGTAACAACAAGGGAATGGACGAGGCTGACACGGAGACCTTCGTCGAGTTGCAGCCGATTGTTGTAGAGGAAAGCAGCGACGGCGACCGCCGCCAGACTAGGCAAAACACTGCTGCCTGATACGGTTGAAAAAGCGCTGTCTGATGCAGGCGTTAAGGCATTGGTCAACAAGACGGCAGAAGGGCCGCGCCAGGAGGAGAATAGGGTGACGGGGGGATGCGACGTGAACCACGAGGAAAGTTCGCATGGGCAAGGGCCATACAGCAAGGATTTGGCCTGGCTTTTTGAATTCTGTCCTTCCCTGCTGCGGGAATGAGCTAGCATTGAGATAGCATGGCTATCGCTTTCGTAGAATGTATGAACTTTAGAGTCAGAGGATTGCATCAGAAAGGAACCCCGTTTTTAAGCTCAATCGAGGAAACCTCCGCAGCGACTTCACTGACACATCCTTCCCACTCTATCAGTCCCTCTCCCTCTTTCCCACTCACCTCACCTCACCTCATCCTCCGCAAACCTTTCCAACAACCCAACGTTCCACTCCCGAAACGTCCTTGCGCTCGCCGGCAACCACGCCCCACTCTCATGCAGACCTTCCTTCAAAGCATCGAATGCCGGCGGCGGCAAACTCAGCTCTTCCGTCGACAAGCTCTGCCTATCCAGCGCCTGTCCGGCGGCGGCAACTGCGGATGATTGCGTGACATCACCATTCTGGGCGGCAGCAGGCTTCCACAGCACCTTCATGGCGCGGGTGGGGTTGTCGTAGTGGCGGCCGGCATCGTCAGCAGTGGCGGAGGCTGAGGAGGCGATGGATGAGGAGAAGGATAGATCGGGTGTGAAGACCCAAATCTAATATAAAGTCAGCAACAGTCAGGAAGGAAAGTATAAAAGGGAGGACCGCTCTCAGAGGAAGGGAGAAACACGAAATCAAAGTAAGGCGACGTATGAACATACCATGATCGGATCTCGCGTTGCCGCTCTTACTGGACCACCACTGCCGGTTTCACTCCCTTCTTCTCCTTCCCCTCGTTGAAAGATGTCATCTGAGTCGACCGTAATTGTGAACTTGCGCACCGCCTGGTTCTCGATCAGGTATAGCAGCTGTGCGGCGATCCACTTGCGTATGTTGTACGACCGCGCACTCGTCGTGGTTGTTTCTCCCTTGGGCGCGATGGCAACGCTCCATTTCCAGATACGCCAGCCGTCGGCGCGGGGGTCAGTCACGCCGACGATGCTTTTGCAAGACGAGCAGATCAATTGCCGGCGTTCCGTGGCGGTGTTGCTTGACGATGTAGTAGACGTTGAAGGCTGGAACGGAAAACGTGTCAGACTATCTGCTTCGCAGGGCGGTTTGCGCACGTCACATGCCAAGGATGTGGGAGATAAAGCAGTGGTGGGATTGATTATGTAACTCCAATTGATAGAGCGTGTATCATGTCTTGATCATCCCGCGCCTTGGAACATTGCAGGGCGCAAGATTGAAACCCATGATTGCATTCGGCGGGAAGACGGAAAAGTAACCACAGCGATTGACCCGCAGGTGCAAAAGGGGTATGCAATTCCAACCTGCCGTAGTATGCGTGGCGTTGATTTGGGGTGATTGTATCGAAGACCACGCCACTGATGTGAGCCGAGGGCTCTGGCACGGCCTCCTTCTTGTCACCCACCATGAAGCGCAGATGATGCAGAACGACAATGACGAAACAAACCTGCTTGGATGTGTGATCTTACCTGCACGCCCGAACAATCCTCCTCCGCAAGGAGCAGATAAGTCAAATCCACATACCCCACCCCCTTCTTGGCCATGATCCGATTGCTCGCCGCATACCCCTTCTCTTTGCCTACATCGTCGCGCCCGTCATGCGTGTGGCCCGGCAGGTGATGCTCATGCGGCTTGTGGCAGTGCCAAAAGTCCATCATCTCCGCCCAGTTCTCGTTCGGCAGATCCATCCACCTTTCGACGCCGCCGCCACTGTCCCCATCCTGCCTTCTTGATATCGCCGCCCCACCCCCATCTTCAGCCTCATCATCCGCCTTCCGCACCACCACTCCCACAACCTCCCCCAAACACTCCCGACACCCCACCCTCCCGCACCCTCCCTCCAACTCCCCCGCATCCCACGGCACAGCATTCTCCCCACCGCCACCGCCACCGCCACCTCCCTCTCCCTCCTCTCTCACCCTCAACCTCACCTCCACCCCCTCCGCCTTATCCGACGGTCCCTCATAAAGCACCCTCGCCCCACCACCACCACTTCCCCCCCGCTGCCACTGCTGCTGCTGCCGCGGCGATGGCAATTGCACCCTCGCCGGCAACCGCACAACCACGCGCTCGCCCGCATGCGTGAGCGTGACGCACGCGCCGTCGGGCGATAGTTCGGCGCGGGTGGTGGAGGAGGCAGTAGTAGTGGGACGGAGCGAGGCGAAGAAGGTGACGGTGCGGATGTGCACGAGGAGTTCGGCGTAGATGTGGGGGATGGCTGATGACGGGGGCGAGGACGAGGACGACGGTGGATGCGGTGGATGCGGCTGGGAGGAGGAGAGCGACGACATCGTGGGTGGGTGGGTAGGCGGGCGAGTGAGGTTTGAGCGACTGCGGCGACTGAGACGGTGGCGGGCGGCGGTGCTTGTACTCGGGTTGTGGGCCAGAGAGAGGGAATACAGTGAAGGAAGGGAAAAAAAAAAAAGGTTGTCGATACGTTGTTGCGATGTTGTTGTGGTGGGGCGGCTTGGCGGCGCGGCGGCGAACGGACCACTCAAGGTACCCGGCAGCCCTGGCTTCCCTCCCCGCGGTGGCGCTTATCACCTGCAGGAAATCTGCTGCAACACACGACTCGGGGGTTGATTGATGAAGTCTGAGCTCCGCGCATCAATGTCGAACCCTGACGTCAGTGGCGTCACGGAACGGGAACCTCATGTCTGGCAAAAGCACCCCCGAAGCACAAATTCACCAAGATGGGAGGACGTCAAGCAGGGTTGATGGATTAAATTAGTTGTGGGAGTAGTAATCTTGAACAGCGTGTCTCATGGAATTGGGGGAATCTACATATCTGGGGAATAAAAGTGAAGAACAAAATGAAAACCGCAACTAAGGGGGAATCTGCCATTGTTCAAAACCCAAAACGACAAAAACCCTCGAGAGAAGTCTCCGCCTACTCGTCGTCCTCGAAGAAGGTCAGAATAGCCTTGACGGCCATGGGTCCCAGGCCGTGAGGAGGATAGCACACGTAAACAGGATCCTCCTGCGCGCCCAGCTTCTCACGGAACTCGCTCTTGTTGGTGAGCTTGAGCTCCGTGGCAATGGCGTGGTACGCCTTGCTCAACACCTTGACCCGCGGCTTCTTCATGTTGTGGCCAGGCGTGAACTTGGAGCTGGCACCGCCGCCGAACGTAACGTTGGTCTCGCCATTATCCGCAAGCTTCTTGAGCGAGTACGTGACAATGTGCTCGATCGTGCCCGACGTCGCGCCAGGGAAGTCGAGCGAGTACTTGACCTGCCAGCCGTGATCGGGCGACAGCTGGGCCAGAGCGACGAACGCCGAGATGGTGCCCTCCTTGTCCTGAGAGTAAAAGTACCAGCGGTGCTCCTCGTCCTGCCACGGGTGGATGTCCGTCAAGTGGACCTGCTTGCCCTTGCGGTTGTTCAACCAATCCTTCACACGCGCGTCAATCTTCTCGCGCACATCCTGCGGCGGCGGCGAGCCAATCGGGAAGTCGAAAATCTTGATTCCCTCCTTCTCCGCATGCCTGATCTTGCGCTGCAAGTCGTTGTCGTGCGCAGCCGGGTTGTTGGAGGGGTCGAGGCGCTGCTCCGCGGCGACCGAGAATGTGCGCCAGTTGAACCGAGTGGCCAGCACTTCCTCAACATCATGGCCGACCAGCAGCCACAGAGGCTTGAGGTTGCGCTCCTTCTTGATCCATCTGAGGTACCCAGAGATGGTCTTGACGTACTGCGACTGGTGGCACAGCGGGTCGCCCACCGTGATGGCGTAGTCGCCCTGCGGCACGTAGCCGACGGCAGCACCAGTGAACTCGTCACGCCAGATCTGCGTACGAGGCTCCAGCCAGGATGTGTTGGAAGCGTCACCGTAGTTGGCGATGAGCTTCTCGATGGGTTGGAAATCGACCGAGGCTGTGACGCGGTCCTGGCCCTCCCACGGCGGGTGAAGCGTGCTGAATTCGGGGTGGCGCAGCTGCTTGATCACCGGCTTCGCAGGCAAACTCCTGGGGTCCCTGGGGTACATGGAAGCGTGTCTGATGTCGCCGAGGTTGAGGAAAAGCATGAGCATGCGCTCCAAGCCGATGCCACCACCTCCATGAGGAGGAGCGCCCCACTCGAACCCTTGCACGTACTCCTCGAGCACCTTGGGATCCATCTTCAACTTCTCCATGTTCTTGGTAAGCATGTCCGCGTCGTGGATACGCTGTCCACCGGACAAGATCTCCTGACCGCGGAGGAAGATGTCGAACGAGTTTGTGACGTCCGAGTTGTGGGGGTCGGCCATGGCATAGAAGGGACGGGCAGAAACCGGGAACTTGTCGATGATGTAGTAGTCGGTGTTGAACTTCTGCTTGATGACCCTGCCAAGCTGGATCTCATCCCTCGTGCCAAGATCCTCGTTTTCAGGCAGAGGGTTGCCCTCGTCATCTCTCCATCCCGAGTCGTTCAGGAGACGGATGGCCTCGGCAAACGAAAGCGTGAGGGTCTGGTCCAGCCAGACGAGGTCTTCGTGTGGGAACTGGCGCTTGACCACGTCGAGCTCATGTCTGTACTTCTCGTAGATGCCCTTGAACATGAACTTGAAGGTGTTGTCCAGCATGCGCAGGACCTCGTGGTAGTGCTCGTCGATGGCCATTTCGAGATCGAGACCGGTGTACTCGGTCAAGTGTCTGTGGGTGTTGCTGTTCTCGGCACGGAAGACGGCACCGATCTCGTAGACCCTGCCAAAGTCGGCAGAGATACACATCTGCTTGGCCAGCTGCGGGCTCTGAGCTAAGAATGCGGGACGACCAAAGTAGTCAAGTTTGAACACGCTAGCGCCAGATTCGGTAGCACCCCCCTGAAGCTTGGGGGTGTGAATTTCAACAAAACCCTGGGTATCAAGATAAGTGCGGAAACAGTTGCAAAGACCAGACTGAATGCGGAAGATTGCCTGCGAAGTGGTGGACCGCAGGTCGATGATGCGGTTGGAAAGACGAGTGCGATCAGAGATGCGGACTCTGGTATCGCCCTCCTGCTCCGTCTCGGCCTTGGAGACCTCGGCCTCGGCGACGCTGAAGGGAAGCGGGGTTGTGACTTTCGATTCGACGTGCAGCTCGTGCACCGAAATCTCAATGTCATGGATGGACGCGCCCGTGATCTCCCCCTCCTTGGCCTTGGGAGGTTGAATGATGCCCTTGACGAGAACGATGGATTCGATATCAAGGTGTTCGGCCCAGTAGACGAAGTGGGGGGTGATGGAGCCGTGCTCGTGAAGCACGCCTTGGACGGTGGTGGTCTGCTGGCGAAGGACGAAGAAGACAAGGTGGGCGCTCATCTTGCGGATGTGGTGGATGCGTGCGCGGAAGACAACCTCCTTGCCCGCGTCGCTGGCGGACAAGGTGCGGATGTCGCAGCGGTCTTCGTGCTTCCACTCGCCGGCATAGTTGTTGACGGGCAGGTCACCATACTTGGCCCTTTGCTCGGGAGTCTCCTCGTTCCTGGCGCGCTCCTCCATCTCATGGCGCTTTTGCAGCTGAGCCTTCCGCTTCTCCTCGACTTGGCGCTTGTGCTCTTCCCATTCGGCCTGCTTCTCCTGCTTCTTGAGCTGGGCCTTGCTCATCGGCTCGCCGTCGCGGTTGAGCGGAATGTCAGTAGAGTCGGAGTCGGAGTCATGTCCCAGGTGCAGCTTCTCGCGCAGGGCGCGGACGGGGCTGTGCGAAGCCTTCTCGGTGAAGGTGGTGCTGGTGCGGTGGTTGGACCGGTCAAAGGTGCCGCTGGAACGGCCGGCGACGTCTTTCCGGTCAAAGGTGCCGCTGCTGCGACTGAAGATGCCCGAGGAGCGCGGCGAGGACTTGGGCGAGTTCTTCATGATGGGCGACGAGAGGCCGGCCGGAGACGGGGCGACGGGCGAGTTGGTGCCATTGGGCTTGGGGCTCTTGGTCGACAAGTCCGAGTCGGAGGACTGGCCGGCGGTCTTGAGCTTGTTGAGCGCCTTTTTCAGGGCGGCGGGCATGGCGACGGTGCGGGAACTATCAGGCGCAGAGCGTGTGTTCGGCGGGCGCGGACAGCGGCGGAGAGGTGGATTGTCGCAGGGTGCGGGGGGTAGAGGCTCACAGACGTCTTAGACGAGACAATGCCTGCGGCGAAAAGTTTAGGTGAGGAGCAAAATGATGGCTTGGGCAGCGGCGGCGCGGTGGGATTTGAATGCGCGCTGGGGCTGGGTAGTCGGCCGCGCCATGGAACCCACGTCATGCGGCGCGCGGGAAGCTTGGAGCACGGCTCCGTCATCACCGCTCGGCGAAGCTTCTCACGGCCTTGCTCCTGCTTGCAGCGAATGACAAAGCCGCGTCGCCGCGTCGCCGCGTCGCCGCGTCGCCCCGTCCCTGCCAATGCTGCCCGCCGCCAGCCGCTGCCCGCACTGGCTGCTGACCGCGCAGACAAAGACGCCGCCGCGACTGCTGCACAGGCTGGAGAGAGCGTGAGGCAGCGCGCCGCGTCCGGCACATCCGGGCTGCCTATCACGGCGGCTGCTCAGTCATTCCGGCGACCCTAAGTCAGCCAGCCGCCGCCGTTCGAGACCCGGGCGAGCCTCTGCATGTACGCACATCTCGTCATCGGGCCCTCGGGCGGAAGCGCCAGCGCCCCGAAGTCCGTCGCCCACGGACGAGTTCAACAGATGTGCACCCTGCGCCCGAACCACATGCCCCCGGCTGCTGTCACGAGGCGCAAATAACCCTTCCTCAAACTTCCGGCCTGCCGCGGCGGCCCCTTGCGGCCGGCTGTCGGCGACGGCAGCGCCCGCTGCCTGCTGTCGCGCGCGAGCACAGCTTCCGAGCCTCCGATTGCGATCGATGATGGCCGCCGTGATCCACCATCAATCACCACCGCTCTCGCCGCCTGCACCGTGGCCCCGCCGGCTTATTACCGTGGCGCGGAGCCCGGTGCGCCTCTAGCCCGTCTTCTCCATGGCAATACACAAGCAAAAACGAGATCTCTGATGTATCGAGCTTTCCTGCCCTGGTCCTTGCCCCCGTTGCCCGCATTGTGGCAATCCCGCATGCACTTCTTCCCGCTTTCCCACTCAACCACCGCCACACCTCCTGCGCCAACAGCCCAAACGTGAAATCCACCCCCATCCGTGACGAATCAGTCCTCCTCCTCGGCGCTTGCAGGAAACAGAAACCAGCTTTCCCTGCCTTGCATTATGACGGCAGCCGCCCGTCACAAAGAAGATCTACGCTCATTTCGCTCGAGAACCTGCAATCCCATCACCTTGGCCCGCGCCTGGTCTGGATTCTGGATTCGGGGATCTTCATCAATCTGCTGCGCGACAAAAACGCAAGCTCCCCTCCTTTGTGGCTGATGCGTGGTGTGGCCCCCCGGCCCCCCCGGCCCCCCTTGCGCAAGAGTGACATCACACTATTCTTTGATCGGGCCTGGATCTATCTCACCCTAACCTCTCACCAGACGCAATATTGAAGCGCACCCCACCCAACCAATCGCCAGCTTTTCCGCGTGCTGTGGCATGGCAATTGCGGTCCCCACTCCCCGATGCCCGATGCTTAATTCGACCCTTTGTGGAGAACAATCCAAGAGAGCTAGAGAGAGAGGAAAAAAAAAAAAACAAGGATTCTTGCTACCATCGACTTTTCCAAACTGCATGGTGCTAACCGCTGGTGCCTCCGTCAACCTGTTTCCCTCTTTTAGTGGGCAGTGCTATACTTGTCGTCCTTTTCATCCCCGCCGCCCAATTCGTGACCCATCCTCCGTAGTCCCCCGTTCCGAGGCTCCCCTCCCCCCTTCTGGACCGCTCCACGAGTGTGTCACATGTGCAATAATGCCAAATAATTAATAGGAGAAATAGAGAGAAAGAGAGTAGTCGCTCGCAATCTGTTCGTGAAAGGGGGGTTGTCTACCAACGTCAGGACCATTCCCCCGTCAAAACGCCCTCCCCCATCTCCCCAGCTACAGCCCGGACCAGACCGTGCGAGACACCTACCACCTAGTCCACAGTATAGCACCAACCACTCTTTCTGTGGCGGAAATGCTAATGCCAGTTCTAACGGCAGTGGGGTTCGGTGCTCGTTCCGGTAAATACGATGGCTTTCTATAAGCCCTATCAACTTCGCGTTGGCGTTACACGATTCAAGAGAGAAGACACCTTGTAAGCCACTGCGTGATAAAAAAAACCACCCCATATATGATATTTCTGGATATCCTGAACTGAAAAGAGTGAACGAGTAGGGTATATATATCGAACTTTTGCACATGCGCATCCTCCCAGCAAATAGGACCAAAACAACAAAAGAAAAAAAAAAGGACCGCTCCAGGCAAGTGACCAATAAACGCCCAATCCTGCACAGAAATGCACTCGCGGCTCCTTCGCGCACGCGATACCAAAGCACAACCCCACACCCGTACCATCACCATCGACTCCTTTCCAAGTCTCCTCCCTCCCCCCCCTTTTTTTTTTCGGTTGGTTGATGCCCCTAGGAGCTTCTTCGGCTGCTTCCCTCACTTCCACTAGTGGTAAACGTCGGTGCCCAGCTAGTTCGTCTGCCGGGACCAGCTATGCCACCAACACCAGGTTGGTCAATGATGCTGGTCCTCCTGCCACCGCCCGCGCGGTAGGCTTCTTCGCCCAGATCTCCCACGATGCTGGTTTGGCGGGTGCGCGTGTGGAGGCGCACGTCCTCGTCGCCAAACGCCCCGAACCCTCCCCACCCGTCGAACTCGGTCGAGAAACGCACCGCCGCCTTCAAGAAGAAGCGCTTGTCGTCAGGCCAAGTCTTCGCTGCGTCTTGCATGGCGCGGATCGCTGTTTCGAATTTTCGTCAGCTGAAAAGAACACTCCCAAAAGGCACGCGATCTCAAACCATACCTTTGACGTAGTTTCCGTCCAAGCAGAAGCGTCCCTTCAGCGCGCAGCTCTGCACATCGCTCCAGCCTCTGCCCTCTTCCAGGTCTTCGTTATCGAACGCCACAACGTCAACCTTGGGGCGCAATTGCGCAATGTACGTGGAGAGCACGAACAGCCACCATTGCCTCACCAGCGGAACGTGGAACTTTGTTGGAATCAACGGGAGCAGCACCCGCACGGCGTGGCTCGCCGTCACCAGCTGCGTGGCATAAAAGTCGTACCGTCTCTTTCTGTCACCGCTGCTCTTCGCCATGAGCAACGCAACCACCAGCTTCTGCGCTTCGAGGAACTGCTCCGTAAAAGTGATCCTCTCGCGTGGGCTGGTCGGGCTTGTGGTGCCAGTGGGGCTCGAGCTGCCGCTGCTGCTGCTACTGTTGTAACCATAAATCTGCCAGTTGTTCCAGTGTTCCAGCACAGCCTCTTCCTTTAAATCGAACAAGGTCTCCACGTTCGCACCACCGGGGCTGTCGAATATACCGTCGAAGCGCTTGTCCGCCGCGACGCGCTTCAGAATCTCCGCGAGGGACGTCGTCGGGTTGGTCGGAGCGCGGGTGTACTTGGCGTCGTCGAGGTAGCGGTGCATGAAGTTGTAGTAGCAGGTGCTGAATGCGAGCGCCTCGATCGCGAGCGTGCGGGATTTCAGTTCGAAAGCGTACCCGAGGTGAATGAGCGGATGGCCGACTATACAGCAGAACACGTCAGCGCAAGCCCGAATTCAACAAAAACTTTGGCAATCTCACATCCAGCGATCATGTTGTTGATCAGCGGTTGTTCGCCGGCAAAAAGATAGTCGTCCAGCATCTTCTTCCAGTCATAGCTGTACTGCACCAACTGATCCTCGAAAAAGTCGACGAAGGCGCGTTGATACCTGTTCCCAAGTCAGCCGCTAGTCCGAAGCCTGTCGTATGCCCTGTGATTATACGCACTCTCTCTTGCCGAGAAAGTCGCGCCAGTCGTGCTTCGCGATTTCGCATGGCGCATCTTGCCAAGGCTCGAGCTGCTCAGCTTCCCTATCGTAGATCTCGTTCATGTGGTCGGCCGTTGCGCCGAGGACGTAGGCAGCACCTAGTATCTGCAGCCGAAGGTCAGTTCTGTGTTCCAGAAGCTCCAAACACCCGGCTACCCCGGTACAATTGCGCAAAAGCTGACTCGAAACTTCGCTGAAGCTTTGACGTTTGACGTAGCTTAGCTTTTGCACCATGGAAGTAGCTGGCTGGCCCAGACCGCATGCTCACCGCTTCTTGGTGCAGGGAAGCTGAGCACACGACTCGCAGGTGACAACGAACAACGAAGACAACAACAACAACGACAACAATGGGGGCGGAGTAACATGACCAGGCGAGCGGGGTAGCGCGGGGTAAAAAAAAAAAAAAAAGGAAGGCCAGTGTGGAATGAGGTCTGTCGAGCAAGGCGAAGAGAAGAATGTGCACATACGTGAGCAGTGTTGTTCCGACACCTTCCGTCCTTGTACACAATGCTGTGGTTGGCGTGGTTTGCGCGCAGCAGGTGCTTCAGCGTGCGCGGCCGCTTCTCCGCGGCGGTCTCGACATCGTGGATTTCGACGGACGGGAGCTCGACGCGGGGGCCTTTGGAACCGAGGCCGAAGCTGGGTAGGCGAATTGAGGGGAGGGTGAACATGGACGACATGCTGAGGTGTGCGAAGGCTTGCGCTGCGGCGACTGCGGCGACTGCGGCGACTGCGGCGACTGCGGCGACTGCGGCGCCTGCGGATTGTTGGGCCTGGGTGGCGGAGCGGCGAAAAGCGGAGGAAGGACCGGAGGACTGGTGAAGGATGGGATCGTGAAGTCGTGACGCAGAGAGCTTCTTAAGAGCGGGCAGCAGGAAAGGGGCGGCAGTGCTACTAGGAGGGCGGGAGCTATGAGACCTGATACAAAAAAAAATTAAGGTTGAAGGGTGCGCGCGCGTTCTTGTTGATAGGGCTCCAACGTCTGCGTCAGTCGGTGAGCCGAGAACGCAGGCCGGCCACGTCTTCGGCGGCGGGCGGCGCGGCTGGGCGGCGGCGGTGGAAAGACGCGCAGGTGGGTTGGGCCAGCACAGCATCGCTTCCCAACGGCGTTCCCGCGCACGCGGCCCCCGCTGCCTTTCCGACGATTAGGCGGGCTTAACCACCGCCAAGGCGTCAGGCCGCGACCAGGGGCTCGTGGAGACGTCTCGCCCAAGCTCCCTCATTTGCTCGGTGATCATGATATCACGCACCACGGGTATTATGCCTCAGCACGCCTCTTCTCTCCCATTCCCAGAAAGAAAAGACAAAACCTGCCCTTGCCGACCTCCGGGCCAAAATAACCTTAGACTACAAAATCGCCCCGAGCCCCGCAGCTCGGCGGCTACTACTGCCTGCCTCGAAACCATCCAGACCACGGCCTCGGGGTTGGGGGCAAGACGAATAAAAAGAGAAAAGAAGAGAATCCCGCACTCCTGCTGCTCCAACAAAATCGCTCGCTGCTCTTGTGCCCAAGCTTTCCTAAAACAAAGGCCCCACCGGGCCTGTGCAGATCAAATCGCAAATCTGCCGTCCTCCTATGCGGCCGCCTCGACATGTGATCCAACCCTCCCCCCTCCATTATCAACTTTTCTCCCGGTGTGATGTGCGCACAGGTCCCTGCAAGAAAACGCCTCCTCGCACCTTCCCAAGATGCTGACCTGCAGTGGAATTTGAAAAACGAAACATGAAGCGAATACATGAGAAAGGTGCCCAAGACTCCAAGCCGCATGCGTGAACAAAGCCTTCAGATCTCGAGCGCCTACCCGGCGCCGGTAACTCCCACCCCAGGCCCCCGGTACTGTGATGACCGGTTTTCCCTATATCTGCTGGGCGATCCGCGGTCGCTGTGCGAGTCCGACGACGCGTTCCCGTATGGTGGCTGCGGCGGTCCCAGCTCTCCGTTGTCTCTTCGCCCTCCAACGTGCCGCACCGAGCTCTCTGCCTGGTACGATGCCGGATCAGATTCGATGCGTGCGACCACCGGCGCAGACGACCGGCTGCCCGAGTTGCGGTTTACCTGCTGCGGCCCCGGCACCGTGGCCTGCGGGGTCTTGCCGAGCTCGCCCACGCGCTTCAGGATTTCTTTGGTCGTGAGTTCGGCGTTGAGGTCGAACATGGACGAATCCGCCAGGATCGATTGGAGATCCTCCGGGACCTGTTGATGTCAGCTTCAACCCAGGAAGAAACGAGGGGATCCCCATCGCGTCACTTACCTCGCACATGGACTCGTTGCACTGGATGAGGGAGTGTACCGCCTCAATTGCGAGGAAACTAGAGTCCATATCCGGGCTCTTCATGCTGGAGTACAAGATGTTGGGGGCAATGACCGTTGCCAAGTTGTGGATGTCCATTTTACTACCGGTATCCTCATCCACAGTGGAAAAGGACGATACCCAGTTGAGGAATGTGAACAGCACCTCCATTGTGTCACGATGGACCTTGGGCATAAGGCAGCACGTGAGATGTAACACACGTCTTCGCTTGTCCTCATCTTGAATCTTTGCTCCGGTAATGAATAGCCGGTGCAGCTTGAAGGTCATTACGGGGTCGGGCAGCTCACGAAGGAATTTCTTCAGCAGTGCTGCAACTTGCACGGGGCTCTCACGTGTCAGGTCGACGGCATCTCCGCCCTTTGCGTCGATCTCCTCCGTCAGTTCTCGCAGACGCTTGATGTTTCCGTTTTTCCGGAAGACACCCTCCACCGACATGTCCATGGTACGCATGGCAGACACTGCATCCTGAACCAGGGCGGGGACCTTGAGCGTTCCGGGGCCTACGCAATCGGTGGATTCGGCGCCGTCTTTTTCCACGACGTATTCCAAACTCTTGCCGAAGACGCCCTTCCTCTTCCCGCCCTTTGGCTTCTCGTTGCCCTTGAACGCCTTGCCAAACTTGCCCCAGAACGTCGGACGCTTCTGGTTCTCGATGAGTTCCAGAAGCTCCTCCTGGTTGAAGTGACCCTCCAGCAACGGTTCCATCGAAAGCACAGCGACGTGGCGGACGATGAAGTACTCCAGAGCCGTGAGCTCCGAGAAATACTTCTTGCCGTACTGACCCTCTCCAGCCGCAGCCTTTTCCAGCTCTTGCGCCCCTGATACATCTCTCCTGTGACCGTTAACCAACTTTGGTCTTGGTTCTTGTCCAACGAGGTGGTCGCGTGCATACTTGGCCGCATTTGGTCTTTGGTCTTTCGCCTGCTCGGCGGCGACGATGCGGGGAATGTCGTCCAGGGCAATGCCTCCATTGGTGCCGAAAGTCAAGGGTCCGGTCTCGTTGTAGTCGCGTCCCTGCTCGATCGTCATGTTAGGGCCGCTGCCTCCCTGAGCGTCACTGGCAGAGCCGGGACGGATGCCTTCCGGACCATCCATGACCCGTGAAGTCCTCGCACGTTTCATGGTCTGAGACAGATGCTTGTCGAGTCGCGTGGAACGCAATCTTCTGATGTCGCCGAGGGTCTGTTCGTAGGACGAGGGCGTGGCCCTTTCGTTGTTGTGGCCAGTGTAGGACTTTGATCTGGTATCCGACCTGAGCAGCGGCGGTTCTGCTGCTTGCTCGGAGCCCGCAGGGGAGACACGGTGGCCGGAATTGGAATCATAGTCCATCAAGTTGGGGTCGTCTGGGGGTTTCGTAAAATCAGTCCATAAGTTATTTCTTCCTTCTTCGCCGCGACTGGAGCTTACCTGAGGTGTGAGGAAGCGCGCCGCTCGTGCGAAGAGTTGCCAGAAGACGCGCGTGTGCAACCCTAAGAAGGTGGACGTATTGCCGTAGCCTCGTCACTTGCACAAAGCCGGCTTCGGCGTCTGAGACACTTGCCGCATCGTTGGCGCACAGCAACTTCTCGCTCGTCCGGCTCCATCGGGCCTCGTGATGGTCTCGAAGCTCTTTGTCGCAGGTTTGGCACTTCATGCAAGCGACATGGAAGACCCTATTGCTAGCCATGTAGCATTTGTCTTCGACAGGCTTGTCACAAACCGGACAGGTGTCCGCCGTTCGTTGAACAAGGGCCACAGAGTCGCTCCCGGCATCGGTGCCGTCGTCTTGCTCAAGCTTCGGTTCGAGGGAGTTGATCTGGTCCATGAACCCACTGAGCCCTGACGCGCTGCCGGTCTCCCGCTCGAGCTTCAGCGCACCCTGCAGGCAGATGCGGATCAAGAGCTTGAGGTAGTGTGCGAGGCCAGTGACCAGCGAGAGCAATTCCTGCGTGACGCCCAATCGTCGTACTCCTGTATCTTGTGATTGGGCAAGCAGCTGGAAGAAGGCCACGACTTTCTTACACAGCAGCTTCGCCTCGCGGGAGTAAGACAGGCCTAGATCCACAGGTGTTAGACAGTGCACGCTCGGTCTAGGCTTTTGAGGGCGGTTTACCTTTTGGCGTCTGTTCGACCAGGACTTTGTCGAGCTCGTCGGCACCGTCGAACAGAAGATCGATGTGGACAATGAATCTCCGGGCAGCCAGAACCCCGTCGAAATATGCGCCGTTGCTGACGTGAAGCAGCATGTCGGAGATGCAAGTGGCGGAGCGCTCCTCAAAGGCCGACAGCGTCTTCCAGATCCAGTTGACACGCTCCTCAATCTTCTCTTCCTCCATCCTGACGTCTTTCCTCAGCTCATTAGTGTCTTCTTCTCCCGCCATCGCCTTCTCAACAACCGGCTGGCCGGTCGTATGGAGGCGCACATTCCAGAATTTGTGAATCATGTAGCACTCCGGATGCCAATGTTGGTTCTGGCCATTTCTGAAAATCTCGACGAACTGCTTCAGGATGGCCGTCTGACAGCCGTTACACCGCTGGGCAAATTTTGTGGAATAATGGAAATGGCAGTATACGCTGCCATCGTGCTCGTAGTAGCTGTCCTGAGCACCGAACACGGTGGGGCAGACGGAGCAGGTGAAATGCTCGATGTGGTATTTACGGTCGAGGGCGGTTATGTACGAGCCGCGCAGCGCGCCGCCGCAGGAGAAGCAGAGGAGGTCGAGACGGCGGAAGTAGTCCGTCTCGCAGAGCGGGTATTGATTGGGCCCCTGCTCGGGCACGGGGAAGAACTTGGAGGCTACAATCTTGTCGCAATCCTGCAGCACGTTATGTCAGCTCTCCGGCGCAACAGACAAGGGCAGGGCGAAAACCGACATGGCAGGTGAAGCACTCGAGGTGGTACGTGTCGCCCAATGCTCGGACGAACTGGCCCGTCAGGTGTCCGCTGCACTTCCCGCAGACCCTCGAGCCGCTGGGCCTCCGGGAGCCGTTGCGCGAGCGCTCGCGCGACGGGCGCGACGAGTCACCACCGTTCTCCAGGCGTCGGGAGCGCTCACGCTCGTCCGGACCCAGCTGGGCGTGGGTGCTGCCCGTGTCGCCGGGGCCGAGCATGCCGTCGTCGGGCGGGCTGAGCCCGTCCCTAGACGGCGGGCCCTCTGAAGGTGTAGCCATGGTCGGATCCCCAAGACCTCAAGTTGTGCGGCGACCGGAGGGGCGCGAGGGCGGGCGGGCGAGCGGGGGAGAACACGGGGGGCGCGGACGGTCGCGAGGGCGCTCTCAGGGCGGAGTGTTCCTGGGCGGGCTCGCACTCGGGGGTTGGGTCGAGCAGGCGTGGCGGGCACGGCGCGGGCGCGGCGCTCTGGGGCGCTCTGAGCGGGCGCTATTGCGGATGCTGGGCGGAGCTGGGGTGTGCTTGAGTCGGGGGCAGCGCGGGGGGGCTGGTGGTGGTGATGTGGGCTGCTCAGCTCGCCGTCCACAGCATGCGGCGAGAAGCCTGGGGTTTAGGCGCGGTGGTGTCGGCAGCGGGTGCGCGATCCCTGCAGGGGAAAGGGAAGCGGACGAGAGGCTGAAACGCAACTTGGGTGTGGCAGCGCGACGAGACGCTCGCCGCCATGCAACAGCGGCGCGGTAGGGCCCTCGCTCTCTCGGTCGACGAGGGCACGGCTGGTCGCGGACGAGAGGGGGGGCGGGCGGCGTGCGAAGGGAAGATGCGGGTGGAGTGGATGGAGGTGGGTGTTAGTTTACCGGGGGGGGGAGGGCTTGCGGGAGGTGAGTGCTGCGAGAGGAGGCCCTGGGGGCCGCTTGGTCGTAGATTGGATGGCCCCGTGCTTGAGCGGCAGGCGTGTTGATCGCAGCGCGACAGCGCCAGAGACTGACTGCGCGAGAGGAGCGCGCCCGCGCCGTGTGCTACTCAGCGCCATGTGCTGCGCGACGCCCTATTGCCCTCCGCCTGCGCCGTGGCCGCGACGCCGCTTTTCTCCGCCCTCACCATCCCATCGCGTCTGACGGCATAGCTCCACCCGCCCCAGCCAGAACAACAGCAAAGGACCGCCCCCGTCCTCCGCCGCAGCCTCCGTCACGCCCGCTCCTCCACTCCACGCATCGCACCCCCGCCCTGATGTCTGCGCGACGCGGCCGCGGCGACGCCGCCGGCGACGAGGAGGCTGGTGTCGAGCTCAAGCTGGGCGAGTTCCAGAACGTCACCACCCTCACCCTCTCCGAGGCGCGTCTGATCATCGACGCCATCGTCGAGCACCGCAAGAAGCACAAGATCGCTCTGAACGAGACCGAGACCCTCACCAAGATGCGCGCCTACCTCGACGTCTTCTCGCGCTTCAAGGACCGCGAGGACTGCGACTCCATCGACAACTTGCTGCGCACCCGTAACGACTTGGCCGGCTTTGAACGCTCCCAGCTCGGTGCGCCTTCCCCGTCCACCTCTGATTGTTCCAGTTGCCCTAGCGCTGACATGGTTCCTCCCTCCCCCCCCCAGGCACTCTTTGCTGCGAGACTGCCGACGAGGCCAAGACCCTCATCCCTTCGCTTCAGGACAAGATCTCCGACGCGGACCTGCAGCAGCTGCTCACCGAGATTAGCCGCCTGCGCCATTTCTCCGAATAGCCATCTCGAGGGCAGCGTTTTGGTGGAATCGGGCATGTCAACGTCCGTTTGTTAGGCTCGGCGGCACTCCGCACGACGATCTGTGGCGGAGCAATGCTATTCTCAGAAAACTGCAGCGCTACGTTGCAGGGCAGCCGCGCTGCTGGCAGACGGCATGACGTTGATGCCGGATCGCGCGGCAGTCCGCCTCACTGCGCAGAAGTTGGCTCGACAGCGTCCACATGTCCGAGGAGAAACTGGGCATTCCCATTGTTGGTCTGGCGTGATTGGGCGGGATCCATCGGTAGAGCTTACGACCCGAAAAGAAAGGACTCAAAAAATAGAACAGAGAAAGAGCGTGCGTTTCCAACAATGCCGCACCCATGCTCACCACACAAACTAGCATTTGTATCAGCACATGGTAGGATGTGTCGAGCGCTCCGCAGGACGCGTGGTAGATTTCTGATCCAGAGCTCTGCTTCCTATGAGAAGAGTGATGTCTACAATCCGGGTCCATTTCTCGCCTTCATCCTGCTTTAGCGTACACGCTGATCCAAGATCAAACAACACAGAAAAAGTTGACGAAACGCGTGTCGATCTTCGGTTGATAGAAAACAAGAGTGCTTTTTTTATCCCGTCTGCTGACTCAGCCGAGGGCTATTTGTTTCCTTTTTTTGCAATCTGATGTCACTGTTGCTTTGCAGAAATTGTACACTTGAAAGCATTGTCGAAAGCGCAACCATTTTTCCGCCACCTAGCACACCACCATGCTGACGCATGGTAGTCTGCCCTCCCACCTTGTCCCAAGAAACTCCCTAAGGCGAAGGAAAAGTACATCTGCCTGCTACAGTCTCCAATTGAGGTGAGAAAGAACACGAAGGAAAGATCTGGACTAGTGGCCACCAACTCCTCGCTTGCTGTCAACGAAGAAAAAAAAAAGAAAAACTTGGGTACTCATTTTGAAGGAAACTTGCAAAGGTACATAATGAACGAAAGGGGCAGCCTTGACAATCTGAAGAGGCCGCTAGCTAAAGGTTGAACGCTCCACGTAGAGCTAAGAATAGAATGATGGTGGTGGAGGGAGCCAATTTGTTCGGTCATACTTTGAACGTTCTTCTGCTCTCAGCTTCGGGATGGAGATGTAGATGCCTTTGGCGTAGGATCTGGATCAGGCTCCGTGTGCGGGGCTTTCGGCGTGGCCTCTGTATCCATTTCGATCTCCTTAACCGCATTTCCAGGTAGATGAGGGAGCATCTCCGGAGGCGTGATGGATAAACTTGCCTGCTCGGGCCGGTCCGTCTCATCTCCCCCTGCTTTCGCAGGTGTCACAGGTGCCGCCTCGACCTGCGAATCATCGACCGACTGTTCCTCGGAGATTACCGGTGGTGGTGAAGCACTCAGACTGTCAACGGCGGCCATCTCCTCGACGGACACGACGCTGCCGTGGCTGTTTGTACGCATCATCTCAAGACCGAGTTTCGAAGAACCTCGCGTCCTACCTTTTGGACTCTTCGTCCGTACCTGCGCATCTCCCAGCTCTTCGTCTTCGTCATCGCCAGACTCAGCCGACTCGTGTTTCTTGTTCTCCATCGAGCGTCGCTTGGCGTTGATTTGTTCCGAGGACCTCTGCTTACGAACCGGGGTGTGCGGGGTATGCTCCATGGCAGCGGGCGCCGAGGCCTCCTGGCGAAGAGGGACGCTTGTCGGAATCGCCAGGAGACTTTTTGATTCTTTGGGTTCGTCAGAGATTCCTAGCCCGCCAAACGCGTGGGCCATGTCACGATCTCTCCATTCGTCAGTCGACTGGCGGTCAATGACAACGGCAACCTCATCGTTTTTGTTGTCATTGTCTCCAAAAAAGCTCGAACTGATGGAGTCCTCGCGACTAGAGCCCCGGTAACTACCCGAGGGCATTGCGGCAAAACTAGACGAGTTCGATATAGGGCTATCTTCCACACGTGACGTCTCTTGACGGAGATTGGATGGAACGACCGATGTTAGCATCGAGGGAGTCCAATTTGGCGGAGGGGATTTCCATTGGCACAGTCTTCCGATCACCTCCGTCAACTTGGCAATGGTGGGGGGCTTCTCGATCAACGCATCGAAATGGTGAGGTGCTTGAAGCTCTTTGAGATATCCGGTGACGGCGACGATTGGCGTGTGGCTGTTGGCGTTCTTGGTTTCGCGGATCATGCGCGCGACATCAGCTCCGTTGACTTGTGGAAGGCGATACTCCATCATGATGATGTCGAACTTGACTTCACTCATGGCATAACGCATCGCTTCCGGCCCAGTCTGGACCTTGATCGCGCGACAACGCAACTTTTCCAATAGCTTTTCCATGACCAAGCGCGACACGGGATGATCCTCGCAGATGAGGATGTCCAAGGGCCTGAAGTAAGGCCCGTCTGCTGCAATGTGTGACATCCGGCGTGAACTTTGCCTGCGGCGGTGTACCCGAAGGAGAGCTTTCTGGCGTGACTCTTCCGTATCGGACGAGGACGGCGAAACATCCAAGACCTGGCTCCGTCGCTTGGCTTGGCTGACTGCAAGCTCTCCGTCCTGGGAATCCAAGGTCTGTGAGCGAGCTCTGGGAGATGAGACCGCTCCAGGGGGGAGGCTGTTCTGTCGTGCCTGCGAAATTGCGCTTTTCTCCACAGGAACGGGAACACCTGGCGTTTTGACGGGTTTGCCAGCCAACTTTGCTTCAAAAAAGCTTCCAGGTTGGAGGGAACTGCTGGTCGTACTTGTGTTGCTGGGCTGATGAGATAACGACGAGGTCCCGCTTGAAGTCTTCCTGCGTTCGTGATTCTGCCCCGTGCTGAATGACACTAGCAGGGGTGACGAAGGCTGAGATGCGCGACTGGGAGATGAGCTGACCTGACTGACAGAGGGCGATGCTGGCCTGCCACCCTTTCCAGTTGTCGAATGTGTCCGCTTCAACGGCATCGGCACCATCGGGCTGGATTCAAGCGAAGGAGTCGGCGAAGTGACGGAGGGGGATGTCGCTGTTGACGGGGGTTTGCTTTGTGCTTGCATAGCTTCTGCACGCAGCTTCTGGATGACATCCTTGTTCGCCTTTTCGAGAACAGGCAGGTTTTTGAACGCGAAAGCGCCAAAATCGTCCGTCGCCATGGGCTCGCTGAGTCGCCTGCTTCTGCCCTCTCGCACGTGAGGTGGAATGTGCAATGGCATCAGGCTCCTCTTGACGGAATTGACTTGGACCTGAGAGCGCACACGTGACAGTGCATCGTGTGGCCTGTCATGGTAATCCGCACCTGGGGTCCCGCTGGAAGATACAGCCTGGTCTTCGAACTCCGCAGCAAAGTTCTGCATCGTTGCCCCTCTCGCATCAAAGTACTCCGTGTCTTCTGGGTTCTCGGACGCAGGCACAAAGGACGCTTCATCGTCACGCAGGGAGTCCCAATTGGTATCGGCGAACCAGGGGTGGGCCTTGATTTCTTCACCTCCGCAAGAGAACTTGTCGCCGATGTTGGCGCCAAGTCTCTTGGTCGGATCAGTGCACATGAGGCGATTCATCAGGTCTGTCGCCTCCTCTGAGACTTCGTACTCATCCTCCGGTGGCCAGTCAATCTTACGTTCCAAGATGTTCTTGAACACCTCGTCCGGAGTTTCGGCGTGGAATGGGGGATAGCCGTAAAGACATTCGAACAGAATACACCCGAGTGACCACCAATCGCTGACTTCATCTTGACCGCTTCCATTGATCGTCTCAGGGGCAAGATAGTCGGGCGTGCCCACAAATCGACGGTCGCTGTCTTCGGGATCGAAAAGGGCCAGAGGAGGAGGCAGCATACCAGAATTCTGGGGAGGCGTTGCGTTGTGTGCAGCGCTGGAGTGGCTGATTGTTGGATGAAGACCATATGGGTCCGGTGAGCCACCGTCTTCGCTCATGTAAACCTCTTCGTCAATGGGGGACCGCCGTTGACCGCTGACAGCATCGTCGGCAATGGAAAAGCGACGGAACATGTTCTGCAGGGCGTCGCTATCTCCGCTGTCACTACGATTGTTCGAGGTCCGGCGTGACAGTTCACGGGCTGGCTCCTTTGACAGGCTGAAGTAGGATGGTTGATTGAGATCACCGCTCAAAGCAGGCATGAGAGACGGGGTGTGTTGAGGAGAATGTTGATTCCCCTGCGCGTCGAAAGAAGCAGATCTAGAAGAGGTAACAGACAGCGCGCGATGAAAAGGGCCTCCTTTGAGAAGATCGGGGGCTTGCTCATCAGACTTGCTATTGAGGGCTCTCTTCTGTCTGCCGATCAAACCCATACGAGACAGACCAAAATCAGTCAATTTGAGGTGACCCTTTTGGTCAATCAAGAGATTGTCCGGCTTCAGATCGCGGTGGACGATACCACGACTGTGGAGATGTTCTACACCAAGTACAACCTCCGCCAAGTATTTCTTTGCCCAATCCTCAGGGAGAGCGCCCAGGACTTTGATCAACGACGCACAGTCGCCGCCGTTGAGGTACTCCATCACGAGATAGAGGTAGTCCTTGCTCGAGAACGTCCAGTAAAGCTTTGCGACAAAATCGCTCTCGCCTTGCCACATCATGATGGCTCTTTCAGCCTTGACGTTGGTTACTTGGTTCTTTGCAACCATGTCTGCCTTTTTGAGCACCTTGATAGCAAAATAATCACCGGTGGACTTTTTCTTGGAGAGGTAAACGCTACCAAAAGCACCTTTGCTGATCGGTTTGATGATCTCGAAATCTTTGATCGAAGGCGGCACGGCCCTCGGCTGAGGATTGCTGCTCGGGATCAACCGTGGAGAGACCGGAGGTTTGGCAATATCAGACCCGGCCGTCGAAGACTGTCGTCGGTGATGGTGGATTGGATATGCTGCAAGAGCAGGAGAAGAAAAATCGCTCGTCGAGAGGACGGGAGACGTGATGGGTGAGTGGATACCGTCCGGCCCTATGGAAATGCGTCCCTTCATTCTGAGGGGTGACGGTGGCGGCTGCATTCCGGCTCTGGCGGGAGATTGCTGCCTACTTGACATGACGCTGGGTAGGATAAGGCTCCTCCGCTTGCGCTCGCGAGAGCTCGCAACTCTGCTGAGACTCACCTCCGAGCCGGGCGAATCGGCTCTCCGTGGCCCAGACAGGACCGAAGACCTGACACTGCTGTCACTGTCGGCTCCGGCATCACTTTCGAGGTGCATCGACGTTCTCTTGCTGTGAGACGCGATGTTCACTGCCCCTACATGCGATCGAGGCGTCTGGCTGCCGCGAGGGCTGCTGGATCTGGTCGACGTCGCTGCTGATGAAGGACGGCGATCGAGGTGAGAGGACGATGCCAGAGATATTTCGGAAGAGTTGCGGAAAGCCTGGCTCATGGCGGACGGATTTTCTAGCGAACAGGAGAACATGCCTTCTTCCTGCTGACAATCAGGAGGATCGACCTCGGTGGGTGTCTCATCCGGCTGGCTGGCAGTGTCAGAAGTATCTGTAGAGTCGCTCAACTCGCCGCGAGCGATGCTTGCAGCCTTGCTTATCGCAGCCTCGACGCACTCTTGTACTAAAACCTCGAACTCGACGCGAATGCGTTCCGAATACTCCAGAATCCTGCGGTACCGGAAGATTGCATCCACCTTTGCCCTGCAATACCTGGCGGTGTCTTCACAAAGAGCCGACAGGCCTTGCTCCCCTTCATTGGCCCCCATGTTTGGGGACTGCCACTGGAGCACTTGCGAAATGCGGTTCTCCGACTGCGGCGATTGCGTTCTCAATTCCGTGGACAGCTGGCCACGGGTGTCCTTGATGGCAGGTGTGTTGATTTCCAGAGCCGTGTCACAAAGATCCAGCACCAGCTCGACGATCCTCGACAGAGGTCTCCTGACCGCAAAAGACCTGGCTCTACGGTGTCCCAGGCCGGCTGAGCGGTCTCGAGAACGTGAGGGTGGTGAAGCGGGCGATGCTCTTCCCGAAGAGACGCCGGAGGAGGGAGTCGACGCGGGGGATATGGCAAGTCCTTTGTACTCCGCAGGGGGTCCGGTGGCAATGGGCTGATTGGCATCTCCGGCGGCAGCCCGAGTCTGGCGTTGCGAGCTCGCTTCCAGAGCGTCCAAAACTTTGACGATTGCGTTGCGGTGGTCAGTAAGAGCTTCCTGTGCCATCTGCACCTCCATCTCGGCCTTGTGCTCTTGCAAGCAGAGGTCGGTGTGCTTTTCGAACCACCACGGGGTGATGTGGCGCTCGCAGATGCGACACAACACAGGGGGCGGTGGAGGATGGGTGGAGGGGTCGCCAGCTCCGGCTTCTGCCAGCTCGGTCAGATACCGCGCGAGCACTTCAGCTCCAACCCCAAGAGACTCGACTAGAATCTCGGGAAGATCAATTGTCACCTCCCGAACCACGGAAGGCCGCATCATCCACATGGTCTAAGGCAGATCAGTACAGTAAATTTGGAACCGGCCAGCAGGGAGGGACCTACGTGGCAGTCATCGCCCGAGGCAGGATTGTAGGACATGATTCCTTGGGCCTCGAGGTTCAGTATCTGCTCCGATTCTTCTTCGGGACGGCTCGCCTCGACGGGTTCCCCAGAGGACGCTTCGGGAGGGCCTGGCTTGGTCCTCAGCTTCGAAAAGGGACCCATCTTCATGGAAAACCGAATGACTCGACTCCGGGCATCGTCTTGGCGCATGTTGTCCACCACGTCGGTAAAAGCACGCTTGTTGCCGGCGAGCATGTCGTCGATGGGCTTCCCAATGACCGATTCGGGATCGGAGCCGACGACCTCGCGCCAGGACGGACTGACGGAGCGGATGGTGCCGTCCAGGTTGAGGTCGACGAGCACATTGAGCGTTTGCTCGGCGGCCTCCTTGAGCTCTTGCATTTCGTCGCGGATGTTCTGGCTGACGGTCCTCTCCATGGGGGCCTTGTGCGGATTCGAAGCGCCCAGCTTCAAGGCCGTGACTTTCGGCGGCGCCAGCGGCGGTTGCTGAGGGTCGTCCATGGCGTTGGTGTGTCGAGCGTGGTCGAAATGGGCGGGCCACGGCTCTACCCGTCGCGGCAGGCCGCGCCGCGGGCAAGGCAGGCAACACTGGCAGTTATGCGACAGTAGAGCAGCCGGCCATCATGGCGGGGGTCGCGATGGGCGGAATTGGGGGGTCGTCGGGGCGCGGTTCGGGCGCGCCTGGGGCTGTACGGCGGCGGACGAGCGCAGGGTACGGGCACGGGCACGGGCCGGCGGCGTGGGCGGCGAGAGAGGTTGTTGGCGGCGGGCTCAGAAGGGTCGTGGCATGGCCCGGGTGTGCGCTGGAGGGAAAAGAGCGTGGCGGGCGTGCGGGCGAGCAGTTTCTGGGAGGTCGAACACACTGGCGGCAGAGCGGCGCCCAGCGGGGTCCAAGCGGACGAGCAGGTTGAACGGTGCACTGGAGTCTTGAACAACGGCTGGTGCGGCCCTAGCAGGGTCATGTGCTGTGGGTCTGCGGCGCGCAGCACTAAAACAAAGCGCCGCATCGGATGCCATGGCCTGCGAAACTGCGCCCTCGTCCAGCACGCTCCCTCACCGCGCCTCGATGGCGCGCCAGGCACGAGAGCCAGCCCATGCCGCCCGCCCACACCTCTCGCACACCCACCCACCCCCCCGAGCGCCCGCCCTCCCGCCGCGCTCTCGCCGTCGCACGCCGCCCTCCCGTCGTCGCCGATCCGCGCGCACCAGCAGGGATTGCTCTCGCGCCGCCTATGCGAGTCGCCCGTGTGCTCGCAGCGACTGATCGCCTTCTTTGCAGCCCGCCGCCGCCCACCCCTCGTGCCCGTCTCCCCATCGTCATACGACGACCGCCGCCGCAAGAACCTCACCGCCGCCGCAAGACGTCTGCATCTGCGCCTGCGCCTGCGCCTGCGCCTGCGACTGCGGCTGCGGCTGCGGCTGTGGTCTTTGGCTCGCCCGGAACCGCAGCCCGCGGCACCGTTCTTATCTCGAACACTCTCGTGTGCAGCTACATGTGCTCGGTCGTCATTGCTTACATGGCCGCCAATGGACTCGTCATCCGTACCTGCAGTGTCCAAACCCCACTCGCAGAGAGTCTCTGTCCCCCTCATCTCCAGAAGGAGGCCCAGATTCAGCCTTGCCTGATCGCAATCGAACTGCGTGCTGCAACTCTCGTTGCTGCTGCTACCCCGCGCTGCCACCCTCGGCACGAGTCGCGTGCTGGGTGACTCGAGCTGCACGCAGGCAGGTTTTGCCATGGCCCGGCCACGACCCGTTGCTGTGACAATGGTTGTACACGTCCACATTGATCCTTTCCCTCCGCGGACATTTCCATAAATACCCAGTAACGTATGTGGCTCCAATTGCTGAGTTTGTGAGGTGTGCCTCTGCTGCTGATTGGCCGGGGCAATCGCTGCCGGCTGCAGTGGCAGGGCAGACCATGCGGAGAAGCTGGATGTGCCACTATCATGTGCGGAGCTCGCGGATCTCGACTCGTTGGTCTATCGGCGCTTCTTACTGCACACCAGAAAAGCAGGAGGCCCACCAATCTGCAGATCGACCGGATATGCCCATTCCAGCCGGTAAGCCGAAGACACCCATTCCCATGCATCTCGGCTCTCCTCGAAGGCGGTTGCTCTATATTGCCGCGGGCGGCTATACGCCGTTGCGTAATTGCCGGGCGCCTGTCGTGCACGTGAGGTGTCAAAACATGCCGTTGTCAGGCAGTCGCCCGTCCTCAACCGTTCCTTGACCACATTCCGAGCAGACCCTGACCGGAGTGGAATCAAACAACGGCCGTTGCGTTTGATTGAGCGATATTTCCGCCCCTGTGGAGGCCTGCCGCTGTAGGTCGACGCTTTTTTACATCAGAAATATGGGGCACGCGCGCCGTCTATTGGATTTTGCGGCACCTTGCAGCAGGCCGCCGTCAAGAAAAACGTGAAACTCGTGCACAGCTTACACGTCCCTGTCGGCATCATTCTTCGGGAATCCCCCGAAACGCCGCGGGCCCGAGCCTCGGACATGAAGCCATCTGCCAACCTTTGGGGCAAGACGTCAAGCCAACACCACGCCAGCCCACGCCATCAATACGGTAACCCCCGAGCCTTGACGGCCGTCATCCTGCGAACAGAGAGTCGCACCCATGACTCGTTCACGAGGACAGCCGAAGACTACGCTGCTGACGTTGCTTCTGACTGGCCACCGTCTCCACGAGTGATACGGCGATGTGGGGTCCATGGCAAGCCACATGCTTATCACGCGTTCCTGTCAGTGTTTATCAGATGCGTTGTTCGCCCTTATTGATTCGGGGCCGACTCAGGAGCTGCAGACTGGGCTCTTTGGTAATTCATTAGCAAAGGGGAAAGGGAAATGAACATGTCGTCGTTCACATAATGCAGGAAACTCATCACACTGAACACCGTGTGGACATAGCACTCGCACATCACATGGAGCTCGAGCTTATTTCAATGTTCAGCTCCGTCTGTGCGCTCGTCGTCACAATCACATCCTCGTCGTCGTGCAAACCCGTCTGGGACTCAACCTCTAACCAACAGGCAAGGTCTTACTTTCCATTTCGTTCCACCCTGCGAATGCCGTGCTCACGCCCCGGATCAGTGCCGTCATCCTGCACTCTCATCCCGTTGCTGACATTCTGTCGTTGCGCCATCGACCAGGCTTACTGTGGTATGCCCGCTGACACCTTGGGCTGTCCCAGAGACTCGGTGCAAGAGCTGAGGATAATTATAACACAATCTTCCCGTTACGCTGACCGTGCATGCCGAGAATTCGAGCTTCCTGCATCGGAGATTTTCTCGATCTTCTCCCTTTTGAAGGCTGAACCGTAGCATGAGTTGGAGCCAATTCCTCCAAATCCGAGGTTGAAGAACCCAACCAAAGGACAGGGTAAGAAAGATCAGACGATACTAAAAGGAAAACAGTCACCCAGCACGATCGAATTCCCATCTGCACCGAGACAGCCAACACGGTGCGGTGATCTACAATAAGACATGACCCATATTGGCCCGATCGACTGGGCAATCTCAGCTTCCTCTCATCGCACCGTGAGCTTGCGGTATCATGTCCACAGCCAGGGCCTTTCTTTTCGCGCAGCAATGAAGTTGACGTTGCTGGTCTTAAACTGCTCAAAAATCAGGTCCGGGTGAATCATCTCGCCCGGCTCTTTTGTGAGCACCATGTGGCAGAATGTGTACGAATTCTCATCACATGTCAGGGCGTCTCGAGCTGAACGGCGGCATGATAGCATCACATTTCCACCGTTGGTCCCGGGCAGTCCTGAGGGAGGGACAAATCAAGCCCTTGGATGCCTCGGGCAAACGGCGGCCTCTGTTATCAGCTCGCTGATGCAACGACTTGTTGAACAGAATAGCTGCCGCACACTACGGACCGAGATTTGCATCCTGCTGAAGCCAAAGTCTTCAGAGGCCGAAAATACATGCTTCCCGATATATCAGCTTCTACCTAGCTCCATGCCCAGACTCTTGTCAAGCTGCCATGTATGATGCGATTGAATATGTGAGACGCTAGCGGCGACTCCATCCGAATGGAGAATGTAACGGTGGCCTAAAAGGCTGCCGAGTTGAGACAAGGGTCGCTGCGAAGGATGGATGGACATGGTGAGGTCCGACGAGCACAAGCCACCTGAAAAATTCTTGTCGCCGGCCCGTCCAGCTTTGCGTGTCGGAGCGGCCAGCATTTAACGGGTTGGGGCCGGCACTATCCCACGCCATCGGACTCCGAACAACGCCCCAAGCATCAGCCGCTTCGGGACCTTCCCACATATACCACCATGCCGCCCAAGACCGCTATCCCGATGCTTCCGTCCCTTTATAATTCCCCGTTCCCTCGTCACCTGCTCTGAGAGACGCATGCAAACTGCGAGCATGGGCACCACAACCACCACCGACCCCACTCTTCACCTACCCCGCGTCCTCTGCCTGCATGGTACGTTCCCCAAGGCTTGCAAACAAAAGAAAATTCCCTGCGCCCCAAGAATGGTCGTGCTGACGGTTTCTGTCCCGCAACAGGTGGCGGTGTGACGGGCGAAATCTTCCGCCTCCAGGCGCGCGGCCTGGTGTTCCACCTCTCGACGTCCTTCCGCCTCGTCTTCGCCGACGCGCCGTTCTTCTGCGACGCGGGCCCCGGAATCATCCCTGTCTATGCGGGCATGGGCCCGTACCGGCGCTGGCTGCGCTGGCTTCCCCACCACCAGGCTGTCGACGCCGACACCGCCGTCGAGGAGATCCGCTACCACGTCGAGAGCGCCATGGACGAGGACGACCGCCAGGGCGCCACGGGCGAGTGGGTCGGCTTCATGGGCTTCAGCCAGGGCGCCAAGGTCAGCGCCAGCCTGCTGTTTGAGCACCAGCGCCGCCGCCGCTGCCTGCAGGAGGAGGGCCGGCCCGTGAGGGGCTACGAGGGCGACAACGTGGAGACGAAGCTGTGGGGCCAGGACTGGCGTTTCGCCGTGCTCATGGCCGGCCGCTCGCCCCTGGTCGCGTTCAGTCCCGATGCCGAGTCCTTTCCGTTTCAGACCGCTGGCGATGCCGACTCTGGCGAGGATAGAGGCCCGGTCCAGGATGAGGCGCTGCTGAAGCTGCCGACCTTTCACGTCCACGGACTGAAAGACGTGGGCATACATCTCCACCGCCAATTGCTGAACCAATACTGCTCCAAGGACTCGGTGGAACTCATGGAGTGGGATGGCGATCACAGAGTGCCGGTGAAAACATCAGACGTGCAGGTTTTCGTGGACAAGATGCTCTTGACTGCGAGAAAGGCTGGGGTTGAGCCGGGAGTTGGTAAGAAGACATGAGGTAATAAGCATAATTAATTTGCATTTACATAGACTTGGCCTGCTCTCTCCTTTCGGCGTCTCGCGTCGCGCTTTCTAGTCGGTACCCTGCATAGCCGAAAATGTTTGAGAGTTGTTGTCTTTTTCCATGCCTGGCAAGGGGACGGAATTTGTTCCAATTGACCGCTACCGCTTCAGACTGCGTATATCAGTGGTACAATGCCAGGATTCAATTCTGTCATGGCTACTATCCGGCGTCGAATGTATCTTTTTTCGCAGAACTGAATAGACTACTTCGACTACCCATGGGATGCATGTCATATCTTTCACAAGGCAAAGAATCGAGTCTATTAGACGTTACTGGCAGAGCACCCTCGAAGCGTTATTCGAATAGACTTTGAAGAGGCAGAATGGGCTCAAATTTTGATGAAGCTTTTAGGGTTATACTTTCCAATTCGCACGAGATCAGCTCAAGCATGGGCGAGAATACGTTTATCGAAAGCTCGGTGGCAACCCTCGACGGCTTCTTCCGAATGGACTTTGGATCTTCGCTTCTCCCGCAGGATCCCGGCCAGCATGACACTCAGTGCCCTCAGTTAAGACGTCGAGAAAGTCATGGTGCTGGTATAATCGTACGGTGATGAAGAAATACCGTGGCATGTTGACGGGTGCGATGGCCAGGGGCAGCTTTGTTCGGTGGGCTTTGATAGCGGGGTCCAGCCGAGCGTCATCGACAACACCCGATGGGGCATCTGCACCTTCTGTGCAGCGTTGCAATGCACGAGCCTTATCGGATTCCGGACCAATCTTGCTCGAGCCGAGGCGCTGAAAATCGTCGCCATGGATGCATCTCTCCTCGCACAACCTCAGGCTTCTTCCGCAAGTTCCTACGGCACTTTGAACTCGGCATCTCCGTCCTGCACTCCGCCTGCCGACATGTCAAAGCCCAAGCTCGCCTCCGACTCGGAACTTGGCCAGGTCAGCCAAAATGCCGATTCGGCTTCGGACATCCTCGACGACCAAAAGGCGATTCGCGAGAGGCAGATCCGATTGAAGGTCGACTTTCGCCTCTGTACCATCGCCGGAATCCTGTGCAGCCTCAACCTGTTGGACAGTGGCGTCATCTCCAGTGCCTCGGTTACGTCCATGCTGGCGGATCTCGACCTCGACAAAGGCAAGCGATATTCCATCTCCATCTTCATCTTTACCGTCTCCAGCATATTCTTCCAGTTGCCGTCGACCATTGCTGTGAGATGGTTTGGTCCTCGCCGCTGGTTTTCCTTCATCACCTGCTGCTTTGGCTTGATCACCCTGTGCACCGGTTTCATCCAGACATGGAAGCAGATGGTAGCACTTCGAATCCTCCTTGGCGCATCCATGGCAGGCATTTACCCCGGACTTGGCTACCTCATCAGTACTTGGTGCGTCCCAGCGTCCCAGCCCTGGAGGCTCCGTCCCTGCTCTAACCTCAAATCGAACGTGCAGGTACACCAGAGAAGAGCAGCAACTCAGGTTCGCATTCATGCAGAGCGGCCAAGTCATCATCCTTGCGACCGGAAGCATCGTCAACTTTGGACTGAACCACCTGAATGGCCACGCCGGGCTTGAAGGCTGGCGATGGATGTTCATCGTGCAGGGTGCCATCACCAGCTTCATCGGCATCGTCACATACTGGTGGGTTGTCGATTTCCCCGAAAATGCCCATCGCAGCTTCATGTTCCTGTCAAAGGAGGAGAGTGCCATTGCCGCAAGTCGCATCCACAGAGACCGCTCTGACGTGCACGCCGATGCCTTTACCATCAAGAAAGTGCTCGTCCACGCACTGGATCCCAAGATCTATGGGCTCTGCTGCCTGTTCTTCCTGCAGAATGTCGTCAGCACCGCGCTGAACTACTTCCTGCCCATCATCCTGCAAAGTGGCATGGGATTTTCGTCCAATGCGTCCATTATCTTGTCCGCGCCGCCCTATTACTACGCCGTCATTCCCGCATTGCTTTCATCCTTGATGGGAGACAAGTACCGGATGCGCGCGCCCATCATCTTCTTCAACTGCGTCTGTGTGATTGTCGGTTTCTGCATGCTAGGGTTGGCGCAGCAAGTCACAGTGAGATACATCGGGACCTTTCTCGCCACGGGAGCCTATGTGGCCAATTGGGCGGCTCTGATGGCATATCAGGCAAATAACATCGTCGGGTAAGTCCACCACCATGTGTTTGACGTTCATTTGCTGAAAGGGAGGACTGCAGACAATGGAAGCGCGTCTTCACCGCAGCGATATGCACTGCATTCAACGGAGCAGGTGGCATTGCAGGCAGTTACATAGTGCGCAGCAACGAAGCACCGAGATACCCGACTGCCGTCTGGATCTCAATCGGGTAGGTCGGCCTGGTTTTGGTGGCAAAAAGCCATTGCTGATCAGCCATGACAGCTCGCATATACTGATGGTCGGCATTGTGATGGTCTTCTCGCTCTACTTTACAGTCGCCAACAGGGCGCAAAAGCGGGGAAGGAAGATACTTGAGGCAACAGTGAGTCCGCGAGCCTGTCAGTGGTTACCACACTGACCGTCGATGCAGGAGGGTTTCCGATTTACGATATGATGGCCTGTCGTTTGCGTATTGGCGGTGAATGCGGGCAGACATTCGGGATCGTGATGATGATGCTCACAAGATCATATTTCGGGCTGTGCTTCTCTTGAATAATGTTTGAGCGGATAGTACGTGCATGTTGACCCTATCCTGGCGAATCAAGCGGCCACGGATATCCCACAACGCCAATTGTATGAAGCCCGAAAGTAGAGTAGATGAAGGGTAGATTGCTTCCGGAAACCGAGCTCATGCGCTGGCATTCGGCGGGCGGGCGGGATGATCGGGGACCTTGACGTCTTCGAACTCGTCCTGCGCAACGGCGCGGATGGTGAAAGCATCTTCCGAGGTCAGCAAAAGGACACGAAGCAGCTCGTGCCGCAACTCACAGACGCCAATCGCGAAACTGAAGATCGCGGCGCCGGTGACGATGTTTTTGACCAGGTAGGGCTGGCGGGCGCGGATCAAGGCCGGCGCCTGGCGATAGTTCTTGTCGTAGTAGGAGGAGCGTGGGATGCTGCGGGCCAAGTCAGCGGCGCGACGGGCTGCGCAGCGAGGAGCGAGACTCACGCCATGGTGAAATGCGCAGTGGTTCGAGCGGGCGGTGGTGTTGTCGGCGGCGATGCCCCGAAGCCGTCTGGCCGCTTTGTTGCCGGGGGGCCGTGCGTCGGTTTTGCTTGGCCCGCTCCGCTCCGCTGTGGCTGCTGCAAGCTCCAGACTGACCGCGGCAAGCTCGCAGCTTTCCTCGTCCTCAACACCAACCTCGCTGCTCCGCGCCTCTGCCCGCTCCGACCCCTGCGACGTCCCGGTCGACCGCTGCGCCGCCCGCCACACCCCCCTATATCTTTGTGCGCAGAGCGCGCAGCCGATGGACGCGTCGCGCGCATAATTGGCTGCCAGTAGTCCATAATGGAGCCCAGCATAACGGAGCAGCTGCGCCAGGCGCGTGAGGTCGTGCTCAGCAATCCGAACAACTACCCGGCCATTCTGCCCAGCATCCTGCCCATCATCGGCACCGCCGCCGACATCGAGCTGCGGAGATGGGGTGCCGAGTTCCTTGCTGAGACGTTCGCCTCGCCGCTGCTGCCCGCCGACCAGAAGCAGCAGCTGAGCCTGCTGGTTCTCGACCGCCTGCGCGAATTCCTAGACCAGCCCGGCGAGGATGTCGCCGTCGTCAAGGCCATCGTCCAGACGGCCGCGAGCATCTACCCGCTGCTGTTCCGCTACATGTAAGCCCATGCCTCGAGCCCGCCCCCGCGCGGCGCTTTCTGACCTCCCGCAGCATCAGCAATCCCCACGACAATGCGAACTGGCAAAAGATGGCCCAGGTCAAGTCCAACATCCTCCGCCGCATGGACACCGCCCCGCCCGGCGTACGCATCTGCTGCATCAAGTTCGTCCAGCGCGTCGTCCAGACCCAAACCCCCGGCCTCATCGCCGATCCACGTGTACGCCTTCCTTGTCGCCCTTTCGCCCTGCTCTCTCTGACCCGTAGTAGCGCCCCGAACATAACGAAATCTCCCTCGCCCTCGTCCCGCGCGACCATCCTTTGATACCACCTCCGAATCTGGAAGCCGAGGCATCAGGTTTGCTGGATAGGCTATTGAGCATCCTCCAGGATGAGATCAGGTTTGTGTCCAGTCCGCTGTGAGGGCGATCCGTCTGACTGTCCGCAGTGATGCTCTCCTTGTTACTGCCACCCTCAATAGTTTGGGGAGCCTCATCCGTACTCGGGCCTCGGTTGCCAACAAGATTGTCTCCACCGTCCTCAATTTCAATCCCCTCAAGCTGGCAAATTCACCCATGACGCCCAAGTCCAAGGTCATGATAAAATCCATGGAGCGGACCGTCCGTGCCCTCCTCATAAACGTCGTAAAAAAGTGAGTGTTCGTGCATCCCATTCGGCTATACACGCTAAATGATCAGGAACCCCAACCACCCATTAGCACCGAGAATCCAACAGCACGTCGACAGACTCCACCACACTCGCCTGGAGATCTTCGACGAGACAACTCGCAAAAGACCAGCCCCCATCGAACCAACCGATGGCCTAGACTTAGCAAAGAGACAGCGTCTTGGAGCCGATGTCCACGCCTCCACCCCACCTGACGCGCTTCCGTTGGGCCCTGGTCCGGTGAGCTACGCGCAGCTCTATACATTAACTCAGGACGAAGGATCAAGGAATTTCGACGTGCAAGCCATTCCAATCGACCTCCTCGTGCGGATCTTGGTGCCAATCCTCGGTTCCCTTGACAAACCGCAGCTGGACAATGCAATCAACGTGGGTCCGCTCCTTCCACCCCTATAGGTCGTCACTGACATGTTACTAGGCTGTTCGGGCACGTTATCTCTCGTTAAGTAGAACTCAACCTAGAAGCGCATTGGATGCATCAGCAGCAGCGACGCAGAGAGCGCCGGTTGTGGATGAAGATGACGACTACGAGCCGGTCTTTCAGCCGACGGAAGACACGGAGCAGATTATCAACAGACTGGATAGCGCTTTCGCAGACGCGAGCGCCCTAGGACGGCAACCGGACGTGGCATTAGGAACTTTCAATCTGGCCCCGCCGCCAGCTCTCACGGAGCAGGAAACCGTCGAATACAGCAAAGGCACTATCAACCGTGTCTTCGGCATCATGTCCGCCCTTGACGACTCCGGTCGCGGCAAGACGCAGAAGCATGGCTTCAACCGCTTGGCCGCCAGCGGGTACGACCGCGATGCCTGGATAACCATGATCACGCGTCTGGCGACCCGCGCCTCGGCCGGCTTGGAGGACGAAAGCGTGGTCAAGAAGGAGGAAGGAGCAGAAATCGTCCCCGCCCGGAAAGGGGGGGCGTTCTCGATCAGCAACGCCATCCGCGACGCGCTGTACCTGTACGTGCTCGAGGACTTCCGGCGCCGCATCGACGTCGCCGTGTCGTGGCTGTGCGAGGAGTGGTATAACGACCGGCTGCAGGCCGATCTGGCCGCTACCGAGGGCTCGGTCATGCACTACGAGAAGTGGGCGCTCAAGGTGTTGGATGGCATTTTGCCGTACCTCGACGCCAAGGACAAGGTGCTCATCCGCTTTCTGTCCGAGGTGCCCGAGCTCATTCCCGCCATGTTGGACCGCGTCAAGGGGCTCGCCCGGGATCCGGAGAGAATCGCCTTGGCGGTCAACGCGATACAGTAAGTGACTTGACGGTGCTGCCTGGATGTTTTCATTCTGACTGACGGGTCCATTCAGTTATCTCATCCTCATGAGGCCGCCGGTGCGGGATCAGTGCATAGATGCTGTTGAGGATTTGTGGAGGAACTGTAAGTGCTCCCCTTCCTGACCTATAACTGGGGATGTTTCTTTGTCGTCTTCTGCTACTGCGCAACCGAATACTGATTTTCGTGTCTGCTAGATGACGGCGCGAAGGGATTGACTACCAAGCTACTCACCAAGTGGCGGCCGCACGTGCTCCAGGAAGCGGCCAACGGCGCTGCTGCACCACCGCCCTCCAACGAGGTTGTCGTCGTGAAGACGGAATGATTGATGATGGTTGGGGAAGGGTTGGTGGTGGTGGTGTTGGTGGCATGGTGGGGCAGGCTCTTCTCTATGTTTCTTCGGCCAAGATACCAGAACTTGAATTCTATTATGACTTTTCTCCGTTTCCGCCCGCGGCTGGTGTGAGACGGGTGTGGTAGCGATGATCAAGAGGGAAAAGGATATATCCAGAGTGATGGTGTATTTCGCGGCTTTCTTCCAGGCGCTGCTCAAAGGGCCTGAAGCTTCCCGAATTTCTTTTTTTTTCAACCATGCGTACCTCACACTCATCGTTGCCGACTTCCTCGTGGTGCGCGTCACGTCACGTCACGTGCCGGACGGCAAGGACGATGACGGTGCTGATCCAGGCTGCTGCCGAGGAGGATCGTCTTGCTACTGTGAAGGAGGTGATGGCGGAGAGCTTCTTTTCGTCAACGGGGCCTCGGCTTCAGAGTCGGTGTAGATGGAGAGCTCGACTCGACTACTTACGGTGCTTTTACCCGGACACTAGCATCCAAGCATCCACCCCGCGACGCTTCGCGGGATGTCAGCCGCTACAGTACCTCGTTTTGCCGGGCAGGGGGACCGAGAGTTTGACCATTCAGTGAGTTTCACCGTCAAGTTCCAACTTGCAAAGGCTCCGCTGGGCTGCCCGCTCGGCGCAGTGTTCTGATGTGAGGCTAGACGCATTGGATGGCCGGGCGCTGATGTGCACTTGGGGTCGGTCACGGTTGATGTGGTATGGGGGCCTAAGCGGCGAGTGGGCTGTTCGACGGCGGTTCCATCTTGCGATCGTAGTCACTGACACAGAAGCGGGCACGAGATGAGAAGAAGAACAAGATTGATTAAACCCCCAGCTGCTTGTGCGCTGCTGGGAATCCCACCCACCCAGGCTTTAGAGTAGCCTTGACTCGTAGCAGTGCTATCTAAACTATATACAGTGACCTCCGAAGAGCTGCCTGCAGAATAGGCATTGTCCAAGGGTCCCACAAGGGCTGACATCACCAAGAGGGTTGGAAGGTGAAGTCAATGTTGGTCGCGATCGAGCTGAAGAGGTGCTTCGATCCGATGGTCCCACAAGGGCTGACCCCACCAGAGGTTGGAAGGTTGGATGGTTGGGAGGTGGAGTACTTGGTGTTTCACTCGTCCGGAGGCGTCGCTCGTCGTTGTAACCTGCGTTCTTGGTTGGGGGCGTGCGCCCGTGGTGTCGCCCTGTTTGCGCTGGGAATTGGGAAGGCTTGAGGTTGACTGTTCCCTGGCGCAAAAGTGGACGCTTGGAGTCCCATAGGATTGGTTGTTGGTGCCAATGTCGATGGCTGCTGTGTCTGGACGTGGGTACCAGCAATGACCGGGGGGTTCCCACTGAAAGAGGCAGCTTGGAAATAAGTCTGTTGCGAAGGCGGGGGGCCGTGACCCATGACTACTGCATTTAAAGCCTGAGGCTGGTGAATGCTTTAGAACTAGCTCCTAGGATTTCCGCCATACGCGCTGGGGATTTAACGTACTCCAATGTTCGAGTTGGGTTGGTTGTTTTGAGGTGCCAAGCCGGATGGTGCTCCAGGTAGAGCTGCAGCATAGTCGCGATTCTGCTGCTCCATGAGCTCAAGGATTGCTCGTCGATCTGTCCAGACTCTTCGGAGCCCCTCCTCCACGTCTTCCTCATCGATGGGGTCTGTAGATATTTATGGGCGGGCGATGGGCTGCCGCACGCGCGCCCGCCGCGCCAACAGGTCACGTGCCGAGGTGCCTCTTTCACCCGCCTGACCTTATATGACATCATGCGAGAACACAAGGAAGGCACACTCATAGCCAGGCAAGGAAGGCACACTCATGACCAGGTGACCGGTGGCCGGAGGCTCAAAACACCGAGCGGCGTTGATATCTCTACCCGCCTCGCCCCAACACTTCCCTTCCTCACTACAACATCTTTTTGTACGCAACCATGCCTCGAAACCCAAAAAGAGACGACCACGCGCGCTCTTCGGAGCTAATGCCACCACCACCACCACCACCCCCACTGCCATCGCAGCAGAGTCAACCCAACTCTCGGACAAGAGAGCCCACGAGGGATCCATTGAAGCTGCTTCCACCGTTGCCATCGCAGCAGAATCGACACAGATCCCAAACTAGGAAGCCCTGGCTGGACCGTCCGAATCCGCTAGATAATTTGCCGCCACTCATCCCTACCGCGGCGCAGAGAAAAAGGTTTCAAGGCTACGACTTAGATGCCGAAACACGGTTTGTTCACCCGACCCTCATCGCTGTGCCTCACTAACAACCTGTCTAGGCGCTGGAAAGACCACTGCCTCGTGTGATATTACGAGTACCATGGGCACTGGAAGACATGCGGGAACCCCTGCTACCACTGCAGGGAGAAAAAAGGCATCACCAGACCGAATACCCACAAGGGTGAGGTATGCCCGAACAGTGACTTTCCGCTCACATGGTGGCTGGACATGTCCACCGCCCAAAAGGGACACGATAGCCAAAACGAGCAGGCGATGATCATCTCTCAGCTGAAGGAGCTCAACGAGGACCTGCAGAACCGGAACAACGGCCTGCGGAACCAGATCTTGGACCTGCAGGACCAGAAATTGGACCTGCATGACCAGAACCGGGAGCTGGAGGGTCAGAACACGGACCAGCAGACGAGGATCGGTGATCTGGAGGCTGAAGTCCGACACCTTCGCCGAGGACGCAGACTGTCATCGCCAGCCACGGGGAGACACGAAGACTATGCCACCTATCGCAGGAGGAGCCACTCTAGGCAAAGTCCCAGTTACGGCCGGAACCATAGTTCAAGGGAGTATGAGAGACGATCTCGATCTCGTTCTCGGTCTCCCGACTCATATACAGGCCGGCGAAAATACAGGAGTCGGACACCATCACGTCATCATCCTAGGCGTGGTAGCCCCGGCTGGATCCATGAGTCAAGGGGGGGTGAGAAACATTTTCGACGTCGTTCTCGGTCTCTCAGCTCGCATGCAGGCCGGCGGAAACACAATCGTTCCAGAAGTCCCCTTCCAGATCCTAAGAGCAGACGCTACCACAGTGAGCTAAATCGCTCTAGTAAGGGCCTTCCTTACCCTCACTCTCTAGAGAGATATTATCCCATCTCCCATTCGAGGAGAAACCCATCGCCTTCGCCTCAAATGGAGTACGGACAACACAGAACTGTTAGCGACGAAGCTAGGCAAATCTCTGCTTTCGAACAACTAAGTTTACGCCCAGGAACACCTGTAACCCGTCGGCGCTCTCAGTATATCAAGACTGAGCGGGTTTCACAATCGCCTTAACCACAAAAAGCGCAACTGCCCAGACGAGATGTTGAATCAGAGTCGTTACGGTGAAGGATGTTGGACACGTGTGGTGGAACACAATACACGCGGTACACATGGTCTGATATGGAAAGACGAAGACATCGGCAACTTCAACTCGCCGGTTTGCTTGATATTGGTGTGGGCCAGGTCACTCCTGAGCAACACAGGAGTTGTTAATTTTATGGGAATTAAAAAAGATTCCTGTGCTAACCAATCTCCCACCGGATGGCCAACAGCCACTGATGCTTACACCTAATCCGAGTGAGCCAAACCTTTGTGATCAGGACGACAGACACAATCGCTCAAATAGGCCAGGTGACAGAGGAACGAAGCTACAACTTTTGGTTCAGATAGTTCCAATTCAGAAGTTCTCAACCATTTCTCATTCCGTTTACTGTGATATATACCATGCCCGCCGAACAGTCTGACCCAAGACAGGCTCTTAACACCACACGCTGTCAAGTGACTAGTGACTACCTTCGGCATAAGACGTTCTCAATGCAGCGCGGCGCGACGATTACGCATAGACTTTGACCAACGTGTAGCTGATGTAAGCGACCTGCTTTCTATGGCATGGCTGCAGCGGAAGGTGACATCAGCTCTACCGACCACTGTGTGTCCATGAGAAGGGCACCGTGGAATTCTTCATCGAGTTCTGATTCCAAGCCGCTCACGAGGCCGAGGCTGCCCACCCCGGTAGAACGGGCAACCATCGCGATCAGAATGCGTTGGATGACACCAGCAATCCAGCTCTCGTCGTCGCGGACCAGACGAGCTCATTGCTCTTGCGTAGTGCCGGGCGTCAGGCAGGCGTTGACGCCGTCGGACTGACCGGAGAAGAGCGGGAGGCCGCTGAGCCATGTTCTGCACCGCCCACAACAACACCAAGACGTACGTTGGAATGCAACAGGGAAGAGTCGACAAATTCGTGCAAGAGCATTCGGGATGTGACGTTGTCGAGAGCATGCGCTAACGTGAGCGCCCGGACGCTAGCCAGCAGTAGTTAGTCCCTCGTTTTGCCGTATGTAACTCGATCATCATTCCCTATATATTCATCGGCTTCGCTCATATGAGTAGCCATGTATTTGGTCTGGACCTCACCAGTCCCTACAACGTCCCCACCCTCTTCAAAATTCTAATCTTCGGCTCCAACCTCACGCCCACCCACCATCCCCTCGTAATCCTCTCCCTCACCCACTCCTCCGCCCACCCCCAAAACCAGCCCGTCTTCCTCTCATCCACGCCCAAGACCAGCCGTCTCAAACTCTCACTCCTTGGCCCCAATCCCTCTTCTACCCCGCCCAAAACCTCCCCCAGCTTTTCGCCGGGCCGCACGATCCGGATGCCGCCGAAAGCGTACACCACGTCCACGACCTCCCACTTGCCGATGACCTTCTCCGGGCGCTCCGCCAACACATAGTCAAAGTCAGCCCAAAAGCTGGGGTTGAGTAGCATGTCAGGATCGTCCGTTTTATCGTAGACCCAGCGGTCCGAGGACGAAGATGATGACGACGACGAGCGCCGCGCCTTTTCCGCGGGCGAGTACGGGACGAACTCGATGCCGCCGTCGTCGCGCAGCGCCCATTCGCCGTCGCGTTCCGGCGAGGAAGACGAAGACGACGATACTGCGTGGCGCAGTCCCGGTCCGCCTTTTTCGAGGAAATGCGTGACGCCGGTCTGGCACGCGAGGTTGTCGAGGTGCACCCTCACGCGGGGCTGGAGCTGCTGCTCGTTCCCGCCGAGCGCGTCTTCCTGGAACGCGACGATGCTGTGAAGCCGGACGAGCGCCGTGCCGCCGGGGTAGTTTTGCGCAGAGACGGCGAGCAGCGCGGCGGAGACGGCGCCCGACAGCACCACGGAAGCCAGTAGGACCCAGCTCGCGACGCGGTATGCGCGGGCCTTGGCGTAGCGGGTGGAGATCCAGCCCGCGCTGGCGGAAGCGCAGGCGGTGAGCGCGGGGACGACGTAGATGATGAAGCGCCACTCTTTGTGCGGGAGGGCGCTGTAGATGGCGACGAAGGCGAGGCAGGGGGCGAGGAGGGCGGCGCTCGGGCCGCGGGTGGCGGCGTTGAGGAGGGAGAGCGGGAGGAGGAGGGTGTAGGTGAGGGGGTTGAGGAGGAGTTTGGGGAGCGCGGAGAGGAAGTAGTAGTGCGTGGGCGAAGTGCCCCAGTCCGAGGCGTGGCCTTGGAGCGTGTTGTACGCGAAGGCGGACCATTCGGGCCAGAGGGGGCGGGGGTAGGTACGCCAGAAGTACGTGTCGATGGGAACGGTGATGAGGAGGCCGATGAAGGCGCCGGCGAGGCCGGAGGGGATGACGAAGCGGAGGAAGGGGAGGAAGCCGGAGGTGGGGGCGCGCTGCAGGAGCTGGTGGAGGACGAGGCAAATGAGGAGGAGGGCGAGCTCGGAGCGGAAAACTATGCCGGCGATGGTGAGGAGGTAGAAGCAGAGGCGGAGCATATTGGTCGACAGCACCCCGTTAGGCAGGGTGAGGGATTGCAGGTAGAAGCTCAACGCGAGCGTGCCTGGGTGCGGTTAGACACGGATCGGAGAGGAGGAAAAGGTACTCACTCATTGCAAAAGCGTACATGTTGGGCAGAGTACGGGACGCATAGTACATTAGATGGAATTGAGTTGCCTGGAACAAGACAAACCAGTTGCTGGCAGCCTTCCCGAACACTTTCCATACGGCCCTGCGGAAGGAAAGCAGGGCAAATGCATTGAGTAGGCCGAGAATTGCGCGAACTAGTCATGTTCAGTACGAGAAGCATGCTGCATTGCATGGAGACTTACCGAGCAATTGCACCTGGGGAGGCGAGCTCAGCCATGTCACGAATGGTCTGGACAAGCCGGCGAGCACCAATGCGCCAGCAAAAGTGCGGGGGACGGAGCCAGGAAAGGAAACGTGGTCATAGTGCTCGGCAAAGAAATCATTGGCATCTTCAGTCGGGACACCATGGACGAGGATGTCGTGAACGGCCTGGATGTTGAACGATTCTTCAACTTTGGTGTAGGGGGCCCACGCCAGGTGGAGCAGAACGACGGCCGGAATGAGAAGCGAGAGGAATGATTCTGCGGCTGGAGTCAGCGGCCGGTACAGGACGGGAAGCCGCGAGAGAAGAGACTCACCAAGGATCGGATTCATTGTGGCGGCTCATGTTAGTGTGGTCCGCAGGAAAAGGAGAGCAGTGGTGCGGAGGCATGGGCTTTGAAGGCGGAGGTAGAGGGTTGATTGATGGGAGGCGAGCGCGTCGGGTCGGCAAGCGAGCGCGTCATGGCACACGTCTCCCCACAGCTCCCGGCCGCGATGCTCCCCGTCCACCTCTGCGCAACACGCCTGCCACCACCGCCGTTACAGGTGTCCATGGATCGCCGCTGATCCACGCGTCAACCTTCCGCCTCCATCCACTCGCTACTTCGCCCTTCCCATCGCCCCGCAATGGCCGCCTTCAGCGCCTCGTCGCTCGCTGTTCCCGCCATCGTCATCCTCATCATCTTCCTCGGCTACACCTCGCAGTTCCTGTACCCCCACCTCGACCCGCACCCTCTGGAGCAACACCAGGAAATAAAGCTCAATGTTCTGCTCGCATGCCTGCTCATCAGCTTCGCCCGCGGCTGCTGGACAGACCCGGGGCGCGTGCCGAAGGACTGGGTGCCAGAACCCGTAAGAGTGCATGGAGACGACACCCCAGTGAAGGCGAAGGATGAGGACGCGCCTACGGTGCGCCCGCGCTGGTGCAGCAGATGTGATGCTCCCAAGCCGCCGCGCACCCACCACTGCAAGACCTGCGAAAGGTACTGCCCGCCAGCGCTGTCAGTAGATAGGTTAATAACGAATGTAGATGCATTCCCAAGATGGACCACCACTGCCCGTGGCTGGCAAATTGTGTTTCCCACACCACCTACCCGCACTTCTGGCGCACCCTTGTCTACGCCACTCTTGCCCTTGGCTACAACGAGTACCTGCTCTATATCCGTTGCGCTGAGATCTGGAACAAGAGGCATCTCCCAAGCGTGCGTTACGCCTTCTGCTCCAGCTGCCCCCCTTCCTACTCATCCGACGGACAGTACCTCGGCCCTACCGCTCCTGAGCTCATGCACCTCTTCGTCCTGATGGCCGTCAACTCGGCCACCACCTTCGGCGTCAGCATCATGACGCTACGCTTCGGCCAGATGTTCGGCCAGAACGTCACCACAATTGAGAGCTGGGAGATTGAGAGGCACGATACGCTTGTGAACCGAGCAAGGTATCTGGGTGGGCAGCTGGACAGGCCAGACGGAACGAGGGTCAGGATCAAAAAGCAGGAATTCCCCTACGATATCGGCATCTTCGCCAACATGGCGCAAGCCATGGGCACCAAGAACGTGGGTTCACCCAATTCAAACGACCCCTTCTCCATCCAAGCATCTAACATCGAGGTATAGATCCTGGCGTGGTTTTGGCCATTTGCCGCAACTCCGCCGAACGACACTGGCCTCAACTTCGAGGTCAACGGCTTCGAAGGTAAGTTTATCACATTATAGACCCTCACAATAGAGCTAGAACTCACGCTGCTTCAAAGACCTGTCCGTCACTTGGCCTCCTCCCGATCCGGATCGCGTGCCACTCCCCAAGCGCCAATTCAAACCCGAAGATGCCTTCACTCACACCGTTCCGGACTTCGACGACCAACAGGCCATGGCAGATTTCAAGAAACGACAGGCAGAGGACCTCAAGCGCTGGCAAAGTACGGGACTACAGCGTAGACGTCCCTTCCACGAGCGCGTTGGCAAGAATGTCGTCGTCGAACGAGAGGGCAGCTTCGATTCCGACGAGGAGTCGCTGAGCGAGGGAGGTGGCGGCGGCAGTGGTGACGAGTCCGGAGAGGAGGCATGGAAGAACTCGGAAGGGGAAAGACTGAGGGATTTTGGCGTGGACGAAGAAGCGGAGTTTTACGACGAGGACGAAGTGCCACTCAGCGAGCTGATGAGGCGGAAGAAAGCGGCGGCGGCGGCGGCTACAGCACAAGGCACTTAGGGTGTCTGGCAAAAATTCGCATAACGTTATTTCCCATTGCGACAACAAACAGACTAAAGACCACCTCGATCTCCGCCCTCTCAGGCCTTCCTCGCCACAGCTCTCAACCGCACATACCCCAACCACCACGTCCCGTCCTCCCTCTCACAACTCCCCCTCAACGCCTCGGCCACCCACCGTACCACCTCCTCCCTCTTCATCTCTCCCCCCTCTTCTTCGACCTTATCCAAGAACTGCTTCCCAAACAACCTCACCCACCCCTCCACGCCTCCCTTCTCCTCCTCCGTCAACCGCGTCGGCCGGTACTCCGTCTCCAGCTTCTCAACGACGAACCCCGCTTCAACGAGCTTTTCGCGCAGCCACTTCTCACTCGCAAAGTACCACGGACTGATCTCGCGCGCGGCGGCGAGGGACGGCACGACGTTGAAGTGGACGAGGGCGGTGGTCAGCGCGGTGAGGACTTCGGCCACGTTGCCCGCGCCGCCCGCCTCGAGCACGAGGGACCCGTTCGGCGCGAGGAGGCGGGAGAGGTGGGTGAAGAGGGTCTGGTCGGAGTCGACGCCGCGGGCGTGGGGGGCGCGGAGGATCCAGTGGAGGGCGGCGTTGGAGAAGATTTTCGTGAAGGGGGCGGTTGCGGCGGCGGCGAAGAGGTCCGGGGCGGAGGTGGGGAGGTCGGACTGTGAAGGGGGTGTTGGTGGGGAGGGTTGGCTGAGAGGTGGGGGGGCTGGGTGGACTTACGCAGTCGGCGACTCGGTAGGAGATGTTGGGGGAGGGGGAGTGGTCGGTTTGTGCGGTCTTGATCATGGAGGCGGAGGCGTCGAGGCCGAGGACGGAGCCTTGGGGGACGTGCGAGGCGATGTGCGCGGTGAGGGGCCCGTCGCCGCAGCCGATGTCGAGGATGCGGTCGGTCGGTTCGGGGGAGAGGTAGGAGACGACGGTCTTGGTGAGCTGGGGGACGAAGGCGGCGGATGTTTTGTATTCCTGGTGGTCGCTATGAATCAGTTATGGTCGGTAATGTTGTCGGACTGCTCGCATCTACGGGATGCAGAATCGTTGGAGTCCTAGTCAGTTCGAGGAACAGGATTCTTGGTACGATAATAGTGCACAGGTGTGTAGGCAAATACTGACCTCAGATGACCAGTGGTCTTTCTTCTCTTGAGTTGCAACCATGATTGACGTCTGTCTCGTGTTCAGAGCTAAAGATTGCGTTGTTCTACGAAAGATCGAAGCAGGCGGGCGGGGTATTTATGTTGTTGGTGTTGGAGGAGTAGTGCTACATATGGAAGGTCCGATATCGGAACCAGAGCACAATCATTGAACAAGCCTAGCGACCAGTCAGACGTGGAGCATTATGGCTCATAGCTGCAGGAATGTCTCATTCCGAATGGGGCGTTGCGATTAATGTCCAAAAGACCAAGGATGTGGACCGCAGTCCGCATGACGTTGACCGCAGCATAGCGAATCACAGCGTCACGTCAAAACAACTTCGATGATACCGAGGCACGAGAAGCTTAGAGTTTCACCCACGAACAACGCAATCCTGCCTGGCAGACACACGCTGGGCAGTCATGAATTCGGCTGGTCGAGCACGTGTCGGGCTTGATGCCTCAGGCAGCCAGGCGGCCAGACTTCCGGCCCAAGCTCGCCCTGTCGTAAGCGCAGGCGCAGCAGCAACAACAGCTCCAACTTCTTTCCACGTCTACACAATCCGCACCTCCCCTCACGTCGCCTGCCAAGAGCCACTTTTACCAGTCGCCAAGAAACCCATCGCCCCTGTAATCAGCCAAGCTGGAGTTATCGCGCATCGCCCGTAGCGGTTACCACCCCGAATTCCCCGACCACCACTCGTCCTTCCGAGACGATTCCTATCCGGACGGCGTCGCCTCGCGCTTCAGCATGGCATCCTTAGGCTCATATGTCCTCGACCTGGTCTATTCCTTGACCAATTGCATGTCATGCTTTCCCGGCACCCCGCAACTCAAAATCAATGGCCGTAGCTTCAAGATCTTGCGCCTTCTCGGCGAGGTACGTTCGAGCGGCCTAGCATCCCCTAGGTTCTTCTAAAAGACGGGCACGATACTGACGAAGCGATTCACCGTGCAGGGTGGCTTCTCGTACGTCTATCTCGTTCAAGACAACTCGGGCGCGAACCTATATGCGCTCAAGAAGATACGGTGTCCCTTTGGCCAGGAGTCGGTGTCCCAGGCGCTCAAGGAAGTCGAGGCGTACAGCCTGTTCTCGCCGCACCCCAACATCATTCACTGCATAGACCACAGCATTGCGTCGGATAAGTCTGACCCAGGCGCGAAGACGGTGTACATCCTGCTTCCGTACTACCGAAGAGGCAACCTGCAGGACATGATCAATGCGAACCTCGTCAACCACACGAACTTTCCGGAGCGCCGGCTGATGATCCTGTTCCTCGGCGTGTGCAGGGCGCTGAAGGCCATGCATCAATACAAGGTCAAGGGGGCGCCCGGTGGAACGGCGAGTCAGGCAAAGGCGAAGAGGGTGAGACAGCAGGCTGCTCGGGCTGATGCGGAGGCTGCGGATGAGGCTGGCGATGAGGCGGCGGAGCCTCTGATGGATGACGAAGTCACTGCCGCTCAGGATGGCGTTGCACCGGGGCAGCAGCGCGCGTACGCGCACCGGGACATCAAGCCAGGTGAGCGCGCTACCGCGGCCGCGTTAAAGGAGCTCGACTGACTTTAGACAAGGCAACATCATGATTGCGGACGATGGAAAGACGCCCATTCTTATGGATCTGGGGTCTCTCGCACCATCGCCCATCCAGATCACCTCGCGCTCGTTAGCCCTCCAGGTGCAAGACACGGCGGCCGAACACAGCACCATGCCGTACCGGGCTCCGGAACTGTTTGATGTCAAGACGGACACGGCGATCGATACCAAGGTTGACATTTGGTCTCTGGGCTGTACGCTCTATGCGTGTCTCGTGGGCAAGTCGCCGTTTGAGGCGCGCTCTGAGGAGACGGGCGGCAGCCTCAGTCTCTGCGTGCTCGGTGGTGACTGGCGTTTCCCGGATGAGAGCTCGGCGCAGGAGCACGGCAGACAGAAGCAGGCGGCCACATCGACGGCAACGCGGCAGGAAGGCAGCATCAGCGAGCAGGTCAAGGACGTGGTGAGACAATGCTTGAGCGTCGAGCCGTCGGAGCGGCCGGACGTGGACGGGCTGATCCGGATCGTGGAGGATGTGATTACGATGCTGCCGGAGGACGACGGCGGCGATGACTGAGGCTGGGGCGCGGTTGCGGTGTGCTGTTTTGATACCCGGGCAGGCGTCAGGCACTTTGCATTGGCAATTGGTCGTTCACTGGTGCGGGACTGCCATTCTTATTCGCGTTGCTTCGGGTTTGGCCCGAAAGCAAGCTTCTCTTCTTGTAGGCAGATGCTTGAAGATTTCATCTAGCTTCACGGTAATGTCGCACGGCGTGAGACCATGTCTACAGCAGATGCACCATATCGCAGCCACTGGCAAGGGAGTCCAAGTCAATGCAGTCCGAGTCACGCTGCGGGCGGCCTTCAATTTCGAACTGACTTTTGCCGAACATGGGTCCGGGGTTGGATAACGCGGCGGTACCTGACTACCTGACTCCGGCGTCTGATTCCAGAACGATGTCGTGCAGACCAGAGCCAGGGAATGCGATGCCGTGCGATGCCCCCGCCCGCGCCAACTATGGCGAATAATCGCAATGGACGAGGTCAGGGCAGAAGAGCTTGACCGCTTGGCGGGGACTGGGGGACGACGTGGAGCTTGGCCGTCGGCCGGCTGCGCTAGCTCGCCTTTGCCCCGTATTGTGCGATACTCATGGCCGCCGCTCTCAACGCCGGAGCTCGCCTCCCCGCTGCTGTGGGCTTGTCGCTTGTAGGATGCGTGCAGACACTCGAGAGCGCAGTGGCAGAGCGTGCAATCTAGGCCCCCGCGAAGGATTCGCAGGAAGCTGCAGCTGGGCAGGCGGCAACGACTAAAGCAGGCACGTCATGCTCGCGAGCGGGGAGGACTCGTGTCGGGCGATGCACCTTCCCTTTGCAGCCGCGGACCTGTATATCACCGCGCCGCTCATATCACCCTCTCCTCATCCCCCGAGCCTTGGCCTTCGCGACGCACGGCTTATCGACACCGACACCTGCCTTGGCATCCTTCACCAGGGCTTTTTTTCGACTGCCCTCCGGCCCCGGCTGGAGTTCTCCGCTGCCTGACAGGCGCCTTCCACCCATCGTTACATCGCCCGCCGACACAACAGCTGCCCCAACAAGGCAAGCTTCGGCGCACAGGCTTGCTGCTGGCTACTCAACCCCGGCCTGTCTGTTTGTTACCTGGTCCGCGGGATTACCCATTGCCCAAGCCATTGAGGTAAGCAGATTAACATCCATGATGACATCCCAGCGGCATGCCCGACTATATATTGTCCCCGCCGCCCTGCTGGCCCAAATGATTTCCTCTCGCACCCCCTCGTCGCCCCCCTTCCTCTCTCGTCCCTTCGCTGCACTCGCCCTGCAGCAACGTGGTCACCACCCCACGTTCCCCGTCAACCGCGCGAGCAGACGCTGAACCCAGCCGCCTTCCACCATGGCGCGCGCAGGCCTACTCTCGACCTACCTCGCCCTACTGGTGGCGCTCCTCGCCATGACGATCAAGGCGGCCAAGTTCACGCCCGAGGTGCTGCTGAGCGCGCCGCGCCGCTCCTCCGGCGTGCCCAACGCCGACGGCTCCAAGGTGCTGTACACGGTCTCGACTTACTCGTTCGCCGACCACGCATCGACCGCCGAGCTGCGCGTGCTCGACGTCGCTTCCGGCGAGAGCACCGTCGTCACGGACAACGGCGACGCTTCGGAACCCACCTGGCTCGACGGCTCCAACATCCTGGTCCTGCTGCCCGGCACCAATGGCACCACGGATGTGTTGGTCGGTCCGTATGACGACTTTGCGAACAGGTCAGTTGTGATTTTTGTGCAATTTTTCTCCTGATGCAACTGAGATCTGCTTGTTCCGTGTCCAATTGCGTAAATTGAGACATTGGGTAATTGAATCTTGTGTCTGGACGTGTTTATGCACTTGAACACGTCCGACTATTTGCTTCGACTACCTATAAAGGAAGATTGGACGCGGGTCTCATGCAACTTGCTTTCCCCTGGCGAAGCTTCGAAGCAAGGGTTTCCATGCTTGACAATAAAACCCTCTCAGTCGGGAATGGCAGTATAACATGATGCTGATTCGATTGTAGCAACTACACGGCCGGCAACATTGATGGCTCTGCCAGCGGTGTCAAGGTAGCTTCTCTCGGTGAGGGCAAGTTTGCATTTGCCATTACTGCTCTCGCCAAGCCGGACGGCTCCATCTACAACTCCGAAAAGGCTACGTCGGTCCCTTCCACTGGCAGGTACTACGAGGCCACCTTTGTGCGTCACTGGGACACTTACCTTACCCCTAACCGTAACGCTGTCTGGTACGGTACTCTGGCCAAGGACGGCGAGCAGTACAGCCTGTCTTCCCTTGTCAATGCTTTGAAGGGCACCAAGCTCGAGAGCCCGGTTCCTCCTTTCGGTGGCACCGACAACTTTGACGTCAGCAGCAGTGGACTTGTGTTTGTTGCCAAGGACCCTGAGCTCAACCCTTCTGTCTACACCAAGATCAACGTTTACTACGTTCCTCTTTCGACCTTCACTGAGTCGACCGCTCCCGCGCCAGTCCAGGTCGAGACCACCGGTTTCCAGGGCCAGAGCACTTCCCCCGTTTTCTCCCCCGATGGCAAGTCTCTGGCTTTCCTCCGTATGAGAGAGATTCAGTACGAGTCCGACAAGCTTCAGCTGTTTGTCGTTTCCGACGTGTCCAAGGCTGTTGCCGTCAACGCTCTCCCCGCCGCTGGCGACCTCGGTTCCTGGGACCGCAGTCCTTCTGCTGTCGCCTGGTCTGCCGACGGCAAGACTCTTTACTTGACCGCCGAGAACATCGGTCGCGTTTCCTTGTACTCTCTCCCCACTCCTGGCGGCAACGCTACCTATAGCAGCGAGAAGCCCACTCTCATCTTCAACGACGGTGCTGTTTCCGATGCGCACGCCCTTGAGACCGGCGATGTCTTCATCTCTGGCACCAACCTCATTGACAACTCCGTCTACTTCCTCCTGACCCCCGGCGAGGAGCCCGTCCAGGTTTCCTCCAACTCGAAGAACGGTGCGCTTTTCGGTCTGTCTCGCAGCCAGGTTTCCGAGGTTTGGTACCCTGGCGCTGGCAACGGCACCCAGATCCACGCCTGGGTCATTGTTCCGTCCAACTTCACCGCCAACTCCACCTGGCCGCTTGCGTACCTCATCCACGGCGGTCCCCAGGGCGCATGGGAGGATTCCTGGTCCACAAGTATGTCAAAATAACCCCTCCAGCCTCTGAATACCCGGCTAACCGTTTTACATCAGGGTGGAATCCTCTCGTGTGGGCCGAGCAGGGCTACGTTGTTGTTGCACCCAACCCCACCGGCTCGACTGGCTACGGAAAGGCTCTTACCGACGCCATTCAAGGCCAGTGGGGCGGTCTCCCTTACCAGGACATCGTCAACGGCTTCACGTACATCGAGAACAACCTCAAGTACGTCGACACGGACCGCGCGGTGGAGCTGGGCGCCTCGTACGGCGGCTACATGACCAACTGGATCCAGGGCCACGATCTGGGCCGCAAGTTCAAGGCGCTCGTCACGCACGACGGCGTCTTCAGCATGGCGGCGCAGCTCGCGTCGGAGGAGCAGTGGTTCCCGGAGCACGACCTCGAAGGCAAGTTCTGGGAGAACCGCGAGTCCTGGCTCGAGTGGGACCCGTCGGCGCACACGGACAAGTGGGCGACCCCCCACCTCATCATCCACAACGAGCTCGACTACCGCCTCACCATCGCCGAGGGCCTGGCCGCGTTCAACGTCCTGCAAGGCCGCGGCGTCGAGAGCGCGTTCCTGTCTTTCCCCGACGAGAACCACTGGGTCATCAAGCCGGAGAACAGCTTGCTGTGGCACACGGCCGTTTTTGATTGGATCAACTCGCGCGTGGGCCTGCCGACGTTGAGCGAGCAGAGCGAGAATGCGCGCGCGGCGAAGGCGGGCGCCTGGGGGAACAGGGAGAGCGATCTTGGGTTGAAGGCTTGAAGGCCTGAACGAGGAGGGAGATAGTCTGCACGTTGAAATGATGCATATTTTGGTGTATATTTGGGTATGTAATGAATGATCAAGATCATGATTGGATCGGCAATCATAGCATATGCATGCGTATGTGTGTGCGATCAAACCGGGTGCCGCATGTCATGTGCGTCTTTGCTCAGTGCACGGAACCGCTATAAAAGGCTGCGAATGGTCGACTTCGTGCTGTTTCTCCTCTTTCTCTACCCTATGTACGAGGATAGCAAGAAAGATTGAAAGACAGAGAAGCAAGTATCTAATTGCCTTGTTCTCTTCCACCACTTTGCATAGAACCTACCTGGGGGGTTCTCCGGCTCCCTATCAGAAACAGTGAGAGACTATGGAGTGTTGGCGAGTTTCCTGTCTCGTCAGTCAAAGTGTGTGTACATACCCACTCAGCATAGTAAAGACGGACACCTCTTTTTTACGGACTACATCCGGGGCTGCTCATGATTGAGCGTAGATGGTAAGCCGCATTTTTCACCGTTGCCCGCTGATCACATACACCATCGACGCTGCAGTGTGAAGCAAGCTTGAGTTTCCATCATCTTCTTTCATTCGTCTATGTAGTGACTACCAGCTATTAGTATCACCTATATGCAAGCCTCAAGTCTATCTTGTTGCTTGCCGCATGTGATGAACAAACGCTCTATGTAAATTACACCCCCCTTTCCCAGAAACGGCAACCTCCACCCCCTGCAGGCTGTTATCGACCATATTCTCTGAGTCCCTTTCTCGGTGTCGGCTCGCCATCTCCTTCACTAAGAGGGAGCGAGTACCAATCGGTCTCAGTCTCGGTCTCCTTTAATTCCCGTGGTGTTTCTACTTCGGCGCCCTTGGTTACATCTTGAGCTGAGGTTTTGTTGTTACTCCGACCTCCCGTTCCCTCACGGGCTGCATCGCTTTGCTGCACTTCTTTCCGCTTGCGTATGTTCCTTACGGTCGGTCTACGCTGTCGTCTGTGCTGGGCAATCTCTTCGAGAAATGTCTCCTCGCTTTGAGTCAAGAACTGTTCTTTGATGGCTTGGAACGTGTCTCGGGTTTGCTGTTCTATTTCTTTCATGGTCTCCATGATAGATGCGTTGATTCGAGCCTGTGCATCTGGGGGCAGGACTCCATGGGCCAGAAAGAGCCGCATTTCCTCTCGGCGCTTCTCATAGACTTTAAATTCGCGTTTGAACGCCGCTCTTTCCGCTCTCTCGGCGCTTTTGATCTCTTCACTTCTGGAAATGAGATCGTTGGCTTCTTGGATTTCTTGGCGGAGCCTGCGCCGCTCTTCTATCTCTTGCTCTAGTCTCTTGTATTCGAGTTCAATATTCACAAAGTAGGGAGTATTCTGAGACACAAACTCCGCCTGGGATTCCCCCCAAAGCTCGGGATCATAGCCGTCGGTGCTGTTGTTGTTTTCATCTGCACTCGTATGGTTGAAACCGCCACCGTTCTCGGTGTAGCCATCCCCGATGCAAGTGAAGAGTATTTCGCCAGCTATTGCGTGTTCGGGCTCCCACTGAAAGCATATGGGGTATTCATCCAACCGGTACTGGTTCGGCAGGTATCCTGAGCCATCAAGGTATCGAAAAATTGCTTCGGTCAAGCCCATTATGTATTTGGAGCTTTCGTGATAGAGGTCGTGCTCAATCCTGCTCGTGGACTCGACTTTCCAGCTAAAATGCTGCAACGGCCGTGTCATCGGCTCGTTCTCGTCCTCAGTCGGCAGTTGGTCCAGTCGATCTGTGAGGGCCTTCATGAAGATCTCGACCTGCTCTGTTCTCTGGGGTGAAATTTCCCCGTGGCCGGCTGCCAGATACTTTCTTCTTCCCATGTCTGACGCCTTGGATGGTTGAATCAGCGTGTCAGTATCGACATAGCTAGCAAGCTTGTCGTATTTTCGTGAGGGATATTTAGCCATGACTTTCAGCATTTCCCTGAGTTCATTCGGCGTCGGTGCTTTACCCGACAGTTGGTCCACCAGGGTGAGGTTGTAGATTGCTGGCCGTTTGGAGTTGTTTGCTTTGTTGAATCGTAGTGTCTCGGCGGCCGGTCCAGTCCCTTTAGCCGCGAGGCTGATGTTCCCGACCATGATCTCGTTGAGGAGGGGTCCTGGCATCGTTGCAATCAATGGTCCTGTCATGTCCCACCACTTCTGCAAGGTCGTATTTTTCAACGCAGATCGCTTGTTCCTCTCGTCGACCCACACATGGCGTAACAAGTTGTGGTGGCTTTCCGCCAAAGAGTTCACATATCGATTTCCGGCAGAGAGAGCCGGCTGTACGTCCTCGGGTCCCTCACCAGGAGGCTCGGAGTTGGTGTAGTCTGTGGTCGTGTCTCCGACATCTGAATCAAAAGGCAGCTGGGTGTCCGGTTGGCGCGCAGGCCCCGCAAGCGCAGCATCGTCGGTGGCAAGGTTTCCTATATTGTCGCTCAGCGACACAGTTTGATGTGCGGCTCGTCGCATTGGATGGCCAGGCGCTTGGGGTGCACTCGGGCCGGTCGTGGTTAGTGTCGGGTGGTATGAAGCTGAGCGGAGAGTGAAGTGCTACCGGCGCGACGGCAGTTACTAGGTACCTAGATGCGACTGCGGTGACCTACGTCATCGACACAGAAGTGGCAGTTACGCCTGCCGGCCACCCACCCACCTGAGCGCAACTTAGTCAAAGACTGCAAGTCACGTGCTGCGGTGCTGCCCGCGGTCGCGCCCAAAATATCTGCAACTTCTTGCGCCTAGCTCACTCCTACTCTTTACACCCTTCTCGTCGACTTGACGATATCTTTTCGTATGTGCCCCAACGCGCCCGCCCGCCATGTCGTGGCGCATCATCCTACTAACGGCAAGTAAAGGAACATGTCAGACCGCCACCGCTCCCATGGCTCGCGCCGTTGTAAGTGCTCACCTTCCCGTTGCCACCTTCACCTTCACGTCTCAGTGGCCACGCTCACTCAAGTGTGCTGTGCCTGAGTCTGCCTGGGTGCTACCACTGCCTCGTCACAGATGCATACCCTGCTCATGTCACCCCGCCTCAACTTCACCTCTACTGATGCGTTCAAATAGACGACGACGACTACGACGACTACGATCGTTATCATCGACACCACCGTCGCTACGCTGATTCAGACCGCGGTTACGGTAGGCAATGATGCAAATACCTCTTCGGTTCATCATGTTGATTACTTTAATCAAAGGCTCGCGGCACCTGGGCCATGACTACAGAGACCCTTCGCCGGACCGTAGGCGTTATGAGATATCTCCGCCAAGGCATTACCACCGTCGCCAACGGAATGACTACTATCGGGACCACCGGGAGCCATCTCCAGATCACAGCCGTCACGATGCACGATACGTCTATTACGGCTCGCGTGCTATGCGTAGGTAGACCCAGACTGAGTTTCTATCGAGCTTGCTCTGACGAACAATGGTAGGGAGGAGGGAGGATGACTACTACTGGGACCATAGAGCCCCGTCCCCAGACTACAGCCGTCATGGCAGACACGATCACGGCTCGCGCCCTTTTTGTAGGTAAAATCAGACCACGTTTCTATCGAGCTTACGCTAACGAATAGTGGTAGGGAGGACGGAGGATGACTTCGAAGATCACAGAGAGCACTTTCCAGACAATACGGGCCATGCAGGATACGATTACGGCTCGCGCGCTTTGCGTAAGTAAAATTAAACCGAGTTTCTATCGAGCTTTCGCTAATGAACAGTAGTAGAGAGGACGACTGATGACTTTGAAGAAGAACATGACCGTGACCAACGCCCTTATACGGATGACTATCGCAACCACAGAGAGCCCTTGTCATATGAACAGGGCGATTCACGTGAGTAAAATCAGATTCAATGTCCATCGAACTTGAGCTGACGAATAGTTAAAGAGAGGACGCATGAGGACGTCGGTGACGACGACGACGACGACGACAAGTCAATCACTGAGCTGATCGCCCAGCTCCGTCGTGAACACCTCGAACCAGTGAAACGCCGTTACGAGAGATATCTGGAATACGAAGCAGAATCATCCAGGATCTTTGCCGGAGCTGACCAACTTGCTGCACCATCGGAGGCACCACAACAGCCCGAGCAATGCGCCCCGTCAGAGAACAAGGAAGACAACTACCCGCCACCACCAAGCGGCCAAGTGAAGCCGCAAATGCTGAAGCCGCGGAGACTTTACGACTCACTCAAGACCGGTTGTCCGCCTGGATTGCCACATGGGATGGGCGTGTGCAAGTGGTATAACTTGAAACCGGGTTACTGCATGGTGCCGGATTGCCCCAACAGGCATGAGTTTTCCGATGCTGAACTGGACGCACATGCCAAGAAATACGGAGAAGCGGGGGAACAATTCAGCAACCACATCCGTGGCATGAGGTCTTACAGGATTTCACGGGAAGGCTCCGGAGTGGCAGGGGGAAAGGAATGAGGGAAATCGGGCCACCGCTGCCCATGTGACAACCGCTACGGGACATGAACCTCTTTGATACCATACCGAAAACCAACGGCTATCCAACAAGAGTTCCCTAGCTTAGCTTGAGGACAAGAAGGGCCAGGAGTAGGGCCGAGAGGAAAAGGGGACCAGGGAAAGGATGGCGCAGCTCCTCGTGGGGAGAGGCCGCGGCGGTGCCGCTACTCTTTTTGGGTGGTTTTCATAGTACACTCCTTTCTTTCTTTTTCCCAAAAATCCATAGATAATTTTACCAATGCGAAAATGAAATTGAATCAGAACCAAAGCTCTGGTCTCATTGAAGAACAGTGAATATATGACTTTGATCTACTTGCTCTCGCACGATAAGGCTGTTTGGACGGCCTTCGCGGTCGTTTCAAGCGCCGATTGGACGTAGGTGATCGCAGCCGCAAGAGGCCGTAGATATCTTGGGCGCCGGAGCGGCACGCAGCACGCAGCACGCAGCACGTGACGCGCAGTCGCGCTGGCCGCTCGCATGCCCATAAATATCTTGCGCGCGCCTCCAACCCTCGAACCTTCTTCCTCTTCATCCTTTTGAACATCCACCACCGGTATGTCTGCTCCTTCGTCAGTGGCGCTTTATCGCCTCCTTCTCCTCCCCCCCC